GCCTCTTGGTGTCTAACAGTATAAACTGTTTGCTTCACTGAATAATGGTGAGCTTATTGATAACTTAGTATATATGAAACCCTATGCTAAGTCATTTTATCCTGACATGAACTCTAGGATACAGTTACTATCATTAGTTCCATTTTGCAGTTGGGAAAACTGAGGGTAGGTAAGATTTCCAAGGGCACACAGCTAGTTAAGACAGCATGGGTATTTGAGCCCATGCCAACGTGGCTCACGTGTCACACTCCTAACTCCAAAAGCACATATGCTGCCTAGGAAAGAGGATGCCACTGCCAGCTACAATCCAGGCAGATGACCCTGGTATCAAGCTGAAACTGTGACTCGAGTCCCAATTTGTACTATTTGAGTTCCTCAGCTTCTTCTTGATAAGTAGCAAATCTCCACTCAGGGCCCAGTGAAAACTCACAGCTTCCAAAATGGAAGCAGAAGCTGCCGGATCTCGGAAACTTGAGGAGCCAGCTCCCACTCTCACTAATAATGATCCACAGCTTTAGGGTAAAGGAGGATTACTTGTGATCAGGGCACCAAAGGACTCCTGGCCTCTCCACAGGAAGAGCTACAGTGCACAGGAGGGACCCCTAGGCACAGCCACCTCCATGGTATCTCTGTAGCCTTCTGCAACACCCTAATGGGTACCAGACCCCACATCTCAAGGATAGCTTGGTTCAACGGCAGGCTTATTTAAAATCCTAATTTCAATCTCAGTTCTGCCACTTGCTTGCTGTATAACTGGGTTAATCACAATCTCCTTCAGCCTCATTTCTTTTATCCATAAAATGGGTCTATGAGGATAAAATGGTGTCAGATGTATGAGGACCTACTTAATCAGGCCACTGCCCCTGGGAAGGGTTGCTCAGTCAATGCTGCCTGCCTTTCCTAGAGCAAAATAAGGGTACGGCCCAAGGAAGGCACTGCCGGCACGGGCCCTTCCCTGAAGATGGTAGGGAACAGACCCCAGGGCAGACAAGGAACAACTGTGGCCTGATTTTCCTGCTGTCTCCAGGGAGCACCTCTGCCTCCTTTGGATGAGTCACATTAAAGGGGGGTCTTCGTGGCCACCTCCGTTGGGACAGGTGCGTAGCCCAGTGGCCCTTTGGACACGGATGGGGCTTGGGCTCGGGAAGTTTGGGTGAGAAACATGCAGATCACAATTTACGCTCCTTGTCGTGAAATTTAACCTTCAGGTTGTTTCCTCACCAAACAGCCACTTCTCTGTTCACCTGCTCTTTTTGTTTCTACCTACACCTTGCACATGTCGCTCTCCTACGGTCACTTGGGGAAATTTCTTCTCCTTCATTGTCACAGATCCTAACTGCAATTTTAAAACGTCACCTCTTGACACCCTTTTTTCTGACTCTGTGACTGTACGTGTGCAGCAGAACCTGACTGGGGTGCACCTGAAACCCTTCCCTAAAAGGCAGTCTTGGAGTGGCGCCCCGGAGCACTGCTGCCTCCAAGATAACTGCATTTTAAGCCACTTAGTCTTTCTAAGAATGTGGAAGGCCAGGGAAGAAGGAGATTTCGAGAGTGTGGTTCCTGAAGTGGTCTGAGGAGTGACAAGGGCAACAGGACACGGGCTCTCTTGGTCTTGGCTTCTGAGCCCTGGATGAATTGGCTTTTTTTCTTTTCCACTGCAGGAAAGGCAGAAGAGGATGGAGCGCCCAACCTGGCAGCCATCTGAAGAGTGGCTGGACCAGCCGGAGGGGCCCCAGCTGTAGCAGGTAGCTGCCAGGCTTTTCTGTGGCTGTGTCTGGGTCCTCTGTAGCTGAGGCAGAGAAGCCACTGCGATGGTGAAGGACCCCGCTGCCCGGGGCTGGCAAGGGCACATTTCTGCTGTGAGCTCTCAGCCTCAGCAGCCTGGCTTAGGGTCACTAGGGAACTCAAGGCTCAGGACTTACAGCCCAGGTCTGTGGAAAAGCTGGAGCTTACTGAAGGGGAAGCCTGAGAGGGTTCCACCTGCGTCGTCTCTGCTCTCTGAAAGTGAAGTGAGGAAGTAGCTTGACAAGAGAGTTAGTGTAGTCGCGCAACTGCTCTAACTTCCTGATTGGACTCAGATGCAATTAAGCAGTGGAGGTGAAGGGAAAGTTTTCTCGCCTACTATGTAGTAAAAGAAAAACCTACATACCATTATTCATCCATTTAATTACACAGTTCTATGCATTTTAGTCAACACTGTATATACCACCTCACATACCACTTTTGATCTCTGTGCCTTAAAGTGGAGGGAAAATCAACTGCTGATCACACAGAGCTAAAATAATGAGCAGCAATGTTGGGGCACCTGTAGCTATGTCCCATTTGTGTGAGACTTTATCTTCCACACAAGAGGCACGAAGTATGGGCTCAGTAAACATCTGATGAATCCTGAATGGATGGATTGACATCTACAGTTGGTTCAAGGGCAAAAGAGGTGACGAAAGGGGTGATGTTGGTGGGGGAAGAAATGTGAAAGAGGGGCAGTCAAGCAACCTCTTATAGTCTTTACTCAAAAGTCAGGTCCATCTAGCAGCCAGGACCATCTCCTGAGAGCTGATGAGACATGCAGAGCCTCAGGGTCCACTCAGACTTGCCGAATCAGAACCTGCATTTTGAGAAGCCCCCTGCCCCGTGATGTATAAATACAGTTCATTTTAGGAAGTTCTGATAGTCTTGTGGCCTCCCTAGAACAATGCATCTGCTCAAGACAAATGCGAAAGTGTGCCTGTAGCCTGCTTTCCTGTGGGCGTCAGCACGGGAGGGGTTAGAGAGTAGCATTTTCAACAGTGAAATTGACTTAGAATCCAGTATTTCTGCAGGCCATCTAGAGAAGAAGAGAAGCTCTTTAAGTGTAAGGCACAACTTTATTAAAAGGAAAATCCACTTCCTTTTTTTTTTTTAATCTCTTGCCTGGGACTAGTTTTACTCAGCCCTGGTTCTTTCTGGATAACTTTTCCTGCATCTGGGAGCTAGTGAGGAATGTACATTTAGTAGGGTTTTTATAGGTGCATTTAACTAGGTGGAGTCACAGAGAGGACCACACCCATGAGATACTGGATTGCAAGATCAGTAGAAGAAATCTATGTGAACTCTAAAGCAAAATGAAAATCATTTCTCTTAACAAGCTTTGTTTTACATTTAAATGCTATTCAGAGCCCTGGTCACTGATGTCACTGTCTCTACGACCCTTCTTCCTCTCCTGGCTGCTCTAGCTGGACTCAGAAGAACTCTGCTGTGTTCCTGACTTTTCTGTGTGGTCATGTCGGTTCACTTACCAGTAATGGCTCCCTTGTGCCACCACCCCTTTCTTGCATTCATATATCCAGGACAAGGTATAAGGAGCGTTCTCCACCAAGCTTCCCCAGCCACTCTTGCCTGTGACACACCTGCCTTTTCTGGTAACCGTGGTCCTATATTTAGAGCACTCTTAAGAGTTCTTAGTGCACACTGCCTGGTGTTGGTATTCAGCCCTGCAGAAGTAGGTCCTGCCATCAAGAGCAGAGGAATACCCAGACCTCTGTATTCCTGCAGCTAGTATCATACCCGGGGCCCAGAGAGTGCCCATTAAACACTTCACAGATCCCTTCAGAGGTCCATCAAGGCCTGGACCACTGCCAGCTTTGGAGGCTTTCAACCACAACTAATTATAAATGAAAAGAAATATGGGAAAATATGGGGAAATAGTTCTAAATATTACCTCAAGTATTTTTCTAGCCTTTTATCATAGAACTATGTACTATGTATTAAATAAAATATATTTTTTGTAACACCAGAACTGCTATCAAAACAGGAAATAATTCAAATGTCTAAACATGAACATGATGGGGGTGTATGCACAGACAAGCACTACACACACAACCTATTCACACATCCTGTTCTTAGCTGTGCTTCCTGAAGGAAGAGGTGTCTGTTCCATTCATAACAAAGTTGTAGACCCTTACTAAGGCCAGGGAACAAGGCAATCTCTAATCTCACTCACCACTAGCTAGTATCTTGATAAATGTTCACTAAATTTAGAAAATTTATTTCTAGGCTCATTTCCCCCAATCTGCTACATGAGGCTATGCTTATACTTTAGATATTGCTCCAAGGGCTGGATGAAAAGGAATACTGGTATTTTTTTCTGAAGTCCTTCTCTCTTATAGGTGAAATTCTATCATATCCCTCCTGCTCATTCTTTTAAGGGCCTCAGGAGACCCAACGTACACTTTATACACCATCTTGCAACCTACTGCCATGCAATCAGCTGAAAAACCTTCCCAAAAGATGCACTTCCTGTCCAGGCTGGACCAGCTGCCCTTGAAGCTAGCTCTACTGCAGAACAGAGGAGCAGAGATGAGACTTGTCTGACATGGGAAACTGTCCTCTGAGGGAACCTTTGAAAAATCTCTTGCCTTTATCTCCTGGTTTCATGAAATGCTTCTTAAATTTCTACAAATAAGCTCTTTACGACTTGGGAAATTACAAAGCTTATCAATGCCAACAATTTCTGGGTTGGTCTCTAATGCAACTGTACAGTATCAGCACAATGATGGAAATGTGGACAATTTAGCTTCAGAAGACCTGCTTGGAACTCAACACTGCTATGACTATAAGTGAAATAAGCGTCCCCCTCCCAACCTCCAATTCCTCTCTTGTAACATGAGGGTGATGACGATACCTATATTACGATGAGTGTGAATCAAACATGAGCTGCCAGATACAAAGCAATTTAGTGTTAGTTATTAGTAGGACAGCAGCATCACTGGCAGGTTTGTTAAATGCAGATTTGTGGGCCTTAAGTATGGGATCTAGTAGCTTTGAAAGTACCTGAGACTTTGTATACGCACTGCTATGGAGAGAACCCAGGGAACTCTGGGCAAGTACTCTACTGCTGATCCGTACCTCCAACTCCACTAAGTATTTTTAGCAAGTTCTCAGATGATATAGAAGCTGCTGGTCTGGGACCCACATACAGAGAACCACTGTTGTACTGATATTTCCACCACTTTCATTCTTACCGCATTATAAATTCCTTAAAGCATAACCTCAGCTTGTTGTGATGTCGATAGAGTTTTGGATCAGCTGGAATTTCGGCCAAGAATACTTGGGCTACTTCCAGTGGTCCCTAGTGAAAAGGGTAAAAAAAAAAAATACAGATATTAGGAAGAAAATTAACTTGGAAGAAAAGATAGGAGTGGCTTCTTAGTTTAAATGTTTAGTTGGCTTGACTAAAACTAGTCAGTGAAGGTTGTGAACATCTCAGGAAACTGATTCCTTAGGAGAAATCTGGAGTTCCTGAAAATATTCATAGATATAAAAGTATTTTCTCAATGAAATACTACTACTACTAGGCTTTCCTTCACACATAAAGGTAACATAATGCCTCCGAGGGTATGTGCTTTGAGTTGCTTTTCTAAAAGTGGGGATTGTCTTGACCCACCCATTCATATTAACTTATCTAGTTGTCATAATGATAAGCACAATCTTGCAAAAGTGGTGACCTGAGCCGGAGGTAAGCACAGTGTACACATAGTCTGTGGTCACGGGATTATAAGCCTTCCATTTTCATCAAAGGGTTGGGACTTAAAAAAAACAAAAGGTATTTAATTTTTTTCTGATCCTGGGAATATAACAGTATTTCTCCTCTCAATGTCTCTGCTCTCTTGATGTTAAGTGAGCAGAATTTTTGCAGAAGAACACTCAAATGTTCTGACAGGAGAAAGAGTCACGGTGCTTACTGACGTTTTGAGTGTCGATGTACAGACAAAAGCAGATTTAAAACTGATACTAAGGCAGTCCACTGGACAGAGTGCTAGACTAGTACCTCCCAGTGAGACAGGCTGGGTTCCACGCTGACCTCAGGAGTTAGGGTTCTAATAAGGCCTAAGAAAATCCAGACTGGTCAGAAGTGGCCCAAGGATCCTGGACCAAATCATTCGTGGCTGCCAAAGCTTTTACAAGTGGGGTACATTTGGTGACTGACACAGGAGTTAGAAGTCTAGGCCTTTCCATCTGTCCCACAGGCTTTCTTAGCTTAGTGTCAAGCCCTGCAACAACTCTGCCTCCACTGGGCCCGACAAAGCCCTCTTCAACAGGACCCGTTTCCTGGATCATACTGCCACGCTCAAAGTCAAGACTAGGAACCAGGAAGGCTGGCATCAGCTGGTTTTGCTTACCTGATTGACAGTGGCTCCGACAGAACCTTGCAGCACCATCTGAAGCATCTTCGCGTCAGGGGGCTCCTGGTTAATGGCCACCGCTAACTGCAGGGTCTTCTTCTTCATATCTTCAATCGCAACTTCAATTGGAGTCAAAACAAACTGAACAGAAGACAGAAAGGTAGGGAAATCACTGTCTGCTCTCAGCAGCTATGGACAAGCCTGGGGCTGAGACAGAGAGGGCGCCTGGCTTTAAAGAGCACGTAAGAAAAGACTTTCAGAATAATTTAAAAATACTCCAAACTGGGTAAGAAGAAGGAAGGGTCTAATATTTTTTGAATACTCATATGTTCTGGGGACTTTATATACAGTTAGCATTTGCTGCTTTAAACAGTTTCCTATTCTCAACATTTTACAGTCTAAGGGGGATTCATAAGGTTACATAAGTTCCACAGAATGACACAGGTAGTGAGTGGGGGAGTCTTAGTTTGGTCACAATTATGTCTACATTTAAAGGCTATATTCCCTCTCCTTGTTAGGTTTCCTTTCCTATTACTGAACAAGTTACTTGACTTACACTGGCCAAAGGCAGTGGTCAAGATTGTCTTCCTCATTATAACACAAGCTTTTGGCCTCACTGCACCTTCTCCAGCTCATCCTGACAGTGGTCCCTAGTAAGTGGAATGCTCTCCAAGGACAGTCTAGCTGCTATGTTCTGCTGGCTTGGGGGAGGGTCCTTCCTGAACATGATGGGTTGAATCTATACCCCCACAATCCATACGCTGAACTCCTAACTTTGGCTCACAATGTGATCTTGTTTGGAGGAAGAGTCTTCAATGAGGTTTTCAAGTTAAACTGAGTTCATTACGATGGATCCTTACTCAAATAACTAATGTCCTTGCACAAAGAGGAAATCTGGACACAAGTACAAACAGAGGAAAGATGGCTTGAGTATAAGAAGACAGCTACCCATAAGTCGAGGAGAGAAACCTGGAACTAATTCTTCCCCTCAGAAACCATGAACCTGCTAACACCCTCCATTTGGACTTCTAGCCTCAAGAACCATGTGACAGTACCTTTCTGTTGCTTAAGCCACCCCATCTGTAGTACTGTCTTACGCTGTCCAGACAAGGACTATATTTACTTCTGGGGGAATTACAGTGGTACCTCAGTTCACAAATTTAATTCTTTCCACCTTTCTGGTTGCAAACTGAATTGGACAAGAACTGAATCAGATTTCCCCATAAAGTCAACACTAAACCCAACCACTGAACTTGATTCAGTTCTCACCCAATTCAGTTTTTGAGCAGAGTCAGGGGAAGAATTAAGTTTGTGAACCAAGGCACCACTGTACAGGTGGCTAAAAGAAGTTATGAGACTTCTTTTTCAGGACAATGAGTTTATTTCTGTGCTGTGCCTAGAATGTCCTAGTACTCATAAGTCCAAAATTATAAGAAACGCAGCGATGTCTTTTATACCAGCCTCCTCTTGACGGGGCCCCAGGTCAGCTCTCTCGGCCTTCTGCGAGACCTGTCCCTAATGTGGTTGTCCTGCTTAGCCACCCTGTTCCTCTGTTCGTGCCTGATGAAGTGGATATTCACAAGGCATCTGCTTGCTCACCAACTTGATTATGCCTGTTCTACTTGTTATTTTAATGACCTAATCTAATTACATAATGCACAAACTGTTGAATTATGGGTGTGGAGAGAAAAAAAGTTGTTTCTATGAAAAACCAAGCTGAACGCTTGGGCAAGACATGATGAAAGTGAGTTGCTGTAAAAATTCCTGTCATCTTACATGTGCGCGAGAAAACTGTGTAAGACTGGGGGCGGGTGAAAACCCCAAATTCTTCTGCTCTCACATTGTTTAACAAAGATCTTTAAGGTCTCTTTGTCTTTAGAGAAAGCAAAGCTGAAAATTGTGCACAATGCACTAAGATTGAGGTTTGTACAGGAAAGACACCACTGAGTTGTGATCAGTAACACAGCTGCAGAGAAGGCTGTGACCCTGCATCAACTGATGAATAAAGGTTTATGTGGGTGTTTTAAAGAAAAGTGTTTATGCTATGTATAATTTTGAATGATTCTGTGGTTTGAGAGGCTTTCCTCCTCAGTCCTATTAAGATGGGATAAAAGTCATAGAGGTCTTTCTTGACTGCATATCCATGAAGAAATGGGAGGTGGGAGGCTTGTGTCAAGTCACAGGAGGGAGCTGGAACCAGAATCCAGTGCGTGTCCACTTCTCTAACTCACGTGGTAGCTTTCCTAGTGCACACTGCCTCCCCACTGGGGCTGCTCCTGTGTGCTTCTTGTCCCTAGTGACTAAAAGCCTGACTATGCCTGTGTTCCTATGAGCTTTTAGGTCTACACAATTCTATATAAAATATCTAGAATTTAAATACAGTCATCCCTTCATACCCATGGGGGATTGGTTCGAGGATCCCACCACAACTACCCACATCCAAGGGAGCTCAAGCCCTTTATATAAAGTGGCATAGTATCTGTACATTCTTTATACTTTAAATCATCTCTGGGTTACTTATGGTACCTATCGGAGTGCACGTGCTATGTAAATAGCTGTTACACTGGGTGGTTTAGGGAATATAAAAAAGAGGTTCATATACGCTCAGTAAAGGTGCATTTTTTTTCTCCAAATATTTCAATACCTAGTGAACGGATGTGAACCTGAGACTACAAAGGGCAAACTCTAAATACTTTTTATATAAATTTACAATTAAAATAGAAATAAAGGTGGGCATGGTGGCGCATGCCTGTGATCCTAGTGACTCAGAAGGCAGAGACAGGAGGATCACAAGTTCAAGCCTAGCTTGGGCAACTTAGTGAGACTGGGTCTCAAAATTAAGTTAGAAGGCTGAGGATGTAGTTTGGTGATAGAAAGCTTGCATGAGGCCCTGGGTTCAATTTCTAGGACCACACATGCACACACACACATACACACGCACACAAAAGAGGAAATACATATTAAAATTAAATATGTAAACATTTATACTAGAGCTGTAAGTTTAAAGTGTTCAATATTTAATACAAAGTAGTGCTACAAAACATGTAGGCAGCTGCTCAAATGGGATTCCCTGGTACCACAAGAACAAGAGGATAGCTCTTCATAACATTTCAAGTACATCTCTCACTTTTGGGGTGGTGGTGGTGGTGCTGGGGACAGAACCCAGAACATCACATATTCTGGGTAAGTGCTCTGCCACTCAGCTCTACACCAGCTCATATCCACACTTCTTTATGTTCCTCTCCGTTTTGCCATGGGGGAGCGGTCAGATGGGGGTGCATCCAGGCCTACTTCTTCCCTCTGGCCATTACCTCCTCCTTCTGGATGACGCTGATCCTGGTCTTGATGTAGGGGAAGGCATGCATGGTGGTCAGCACGGTGTTCCTGCGGTACTGCTCGTGCAGCTCCCCCCGGGGCCGCCCCTCCAGAGTGAAGGGGGTGGTGTACATGAACCTCCGCAGGTTGAAGTTCTTTTCAAAGTAGGTTACCCTGTCTTTCATCTCATACTCATCAAAGTAGGGCTCCACAAATGTGATCTGAATGTAGGCCTGGAGGGCAAAGCAGGGGAAGGAGGAGATGAGCTATGCTGCAAACCAGACCCATGACACAGGGCAAAGGCGTGCTGGGACACACCCACACCCCTCTCCGCCCTGAGATCAGAGGATGCAGAATCCGCGCTCCTCCTCTGCACTGCAGGGAGAGAAAGGAGTGTGAGGAAGGCAAGGGGACTGTGCCTATGGGTGGAGTCAGGTCCACCAGCAGCCCTCTCCAGGCACAGCCAACAGACCCAGTGGGAGCTCAGTGGGAGAGTTTGCAAACTGCTATTCCACAGAGGCAAACTTTCCTTCTCAGAGTGACCATGACACGCTTATGAGTCAGTGGTCAAACTAAGAAAATGATCAATACCAGGTGCTGGTGAGGATAGAGAGCCGCTGATCGTTCACACAGGGACGCAGGAATGCGAAATGTGCAGCCACCTTGTACAAGTCAGCAGCTTCTCATACAGCGAAATGACACTGACCTACAACCAGGCCCCCACTCCTTCATGTGTATGTACAGGAAATGAAAACGTACGTTCACATGGAAACGTTATGCATAACAGACAAAAACTAGAAACAAATCAAATGTCTGTCACTCACATAGGGAAGGGCTAAATAATAAAATAAAATTCACACAACAGAACACTACTCAGCTATCACAGGAAGACATTACTGAACGTGGATGAATCTCAGACGGGTTACACTAAGTGAAAGAAGCCAGCCTCCGAAGGCTGTCTGGTTCCACTTATTTAGTGTATGATCCCACGTATAAGCTTTCTGCAAAAGGACAATCCACAGAGACAGAACGCAGACTGGTGACAGTAGAGGTCACAGGGGCCCGGGGAAAGACTGTGGAGTGGGGGACCCTTCTATATGTTGACTGGGGTGGCAGCTACACGCAGCTGTCAAAATTCATAGAACTAAACACAAACCCCCTGAATTTTATTCTATGCCCCTCACTTAAACATGCACACATGTATACGCTGAGAAGAGGGTAGTCAACAATGAAGGAGGATTCTGTAAAAACTAATAAAGCAGAACGGCAGCGAGCTCAGATGCTGGACACCACCCAGTGTGGTGGACAGGCGCGATCATGGGGCTCAGAACATAAATCAGCACTTGACACAGTGAAATCAGGCTGCGATTCTGGGCTCAGACTCTCATTCTGAGCTCTCACACCTGATCTGGAGAATTTTAAGCAAGGGGAGAGGTGCCACTGGTGTCAGGGAGCTCCCAGGCGATGAGCAAGGCATGGATCTCTGTAAGCACACAGCCTCTCTTTCACGGAGTTCAGACATTTCTGTCTGAAACTTGGTTCAACTCTTACACAGTTACTGCTTTCGAGCCTACCCTAGGGAATGTGTCTTCACTGAGCAAGTGTTCTGAAAAATGTAGAAAAACCAATTTTCACATTTGGTCAGTTCCTCCCTATTTATATCATCTTCATACTGTCCTGGAAGACGGAATGGAGGGAGGAGTTTGGACTTTTCATTTTACAGGTCTGTCAGATGGTGAGTGGTCCTCCGTCCCTGGCCCTTAACAATACCTGGCATTTACGCTATTTCCAGCAGTCCGGCATGTCGTCATGGAACTACCTGTGAGACAGACGGAGCGGGTGGCTCCCTTGTCCCTGTTTGTTGGTGTAGAGTTTCAAAAACCCTGCGAGTTTCCTAAGTGACAGCAATGACTTTGTTATGCTAAGGAGATGACTCCCGATGGGCCCCACACAGCTTCAGGTGGTCACCAAGAGGACCAATCATGTCATTAGAAGCTTGGAGCTTTGGCTGGCCTGACTTGAGAAGGGAGAAGAGCTAAGTTTGTCTTTAATTAGGTGGCCATGGATTCAATCAATAATGCCTGCATAAAGAAATCCTATTAAAAATCTGGGTGCTCCAAGGCTTGGAGGAACTTCCTAGTTGGTGAACACATTGGTGTGCGTGGGTTCCAGAGAGAGGGCGCAGAACCATGTGCTCCTTCCCAACTTGCCTATGCACATCATTCATCACATACTGAAGTCAGAAGTATAGTACATCTCAGTTCTGTGCGTCATTCTAGTAAATTATTTAACCTGGGCGGTATCGCAGCAACTCCTGGATTTTTAGCCAGGTGGTCAGAAGGATGGATGGCCTGGGAGTCCCACCTGAGGCAGGTGTTTAAAGCCATAGCAGTGTTGTGGAGCCTGCGACACGTGGAGTATGATATGGAGTCTGATGATAAGTTTGGATCTCCCTGGTCTACTGGAAAGCCCCAGTTGGGGATGAAATGGAACATGTCCCAGGGTCAAAGTGAGAAACCTGGAGCCCAAGCCCTTCCGGTCCTCCGCCCAATTGCACAGCCATCTTGCTCCTGGTTGAAAGGAACATGGGCAGCTGAAAGCCAGGTACCACTAAATGCTACTGTGAGACGGTAGCATTCAAAAAAATTTTTAAACTTCTTTTTTTCCTAGACAGAGTCTTCTTATGTAGTTCAGGATAGCCTTGAACTCACTATATAGCCCAGCCTGGCCTCGAACTTACGGCAGTCCTTCTGCCTCAGCCTTCTGAGTGCTGGGGTTACAGAGTGCACCACCACACCTGGCTTGACATTTTAAAACATGTTTTAAATTAAGAGCTTAAAGGTTTTACAGGCGGGCAATAATGAGCAGTGATTAAGAGTGTGGGTCTGGGGATGAACACAATTCACTGGAATACCAGCTCTGTCACTTGCATGATCTTGGAAAGTTGCTCAACTTTTCTATGCCTCAATTTTCTCATTTGTAAAATAGAAAAAAAAACCTTATTTCTGAGAGCTGTTGGAGGATGCAATGATGTACATACAGAGTCTAATGCAGTTCCAGTCACACGATTGGTCCTATGTTGATTCTTGCCTTTTAGTATATTTTGAGACCTAGCCAGGTATGGTGGCGCACACCTGTAATCCCAGCACTCAGGAGGCTGAGGCAGGAGGATTGGTGTGAGTTTGAGACCAGGCTGAGCTACAAAATGAGCTGAAGGCCAGCCTGAATTGCATAGAGAGACCCTGTCTCAAAAAAGACAAAACAAAACAAAACAAAACAAAAAAAAACGTCAGCTAGTAGTTGAACTCTACAGAGAAATGTTTGGTAGTATTTAAATGAGTTGGAGAGTTCTAATAGAGGAGGTCATTTTGGGCTCTGTGGGCAGAAAAGGGCATTCAGAGCCTGATGGTAATTTTTCAGGAAATTTTCTCCATACCTTGTTAGGATCCAACTTAGTTTTATCCACAGGAGCAGAGTCTTTTATCACTTCCACAAATTCTGCACCAAAACACTGACCATAAAATCCCTAGATAAGAGAAACCAACAGTGTTTAAAGGTTCTTTTTAACATAATGCCACTATTTGTCTCCTAGGAAGTGGGGTAAGTTTGGAACAAGTGCAAAATAAAATTTGTTCACTGATTATTTGAGTATTCCTCTGAGTTAATGAGCAAAGCTCAGCATTTCCTGAGACATAAATAAAAATATAAGGAAGTTCCACACCGTCAACTGATCTATACTTCCCTATAATATGTGTGCCTGGTCTGTAGTTCAATGAGTGCGATCGTATTTCCTGAGGCACGTCCAAGGGTACAGCACTACTTACTTTTAGGTTTTGGTAACCTGAGAACTTAGAGGTAACCAGGCGCCCCCCATAATGTGGCAAACCGCAGAGTACAAGCAGGCAAAGCATACGCCTCTGATTCTAAGTAGGGGAAACTATCAGGGAACTAAGTGGTCTGAGCTAATGGCTAGTTTTCCTTCTCATGAGCTGAGTGTCTTAGGGCAAGTTGCCCAACCACTCTGGGCCATGACATCTGTGAGCTGAGCAGGACAAAACTCACCTGTCTTATTTGGCAAGGATGAACAGTGCAAGGCGCAACTAGACAACAAAATGTCCTAAGTATTACAGTTGTAAGGTAGCATCCATGCGACGCAGTCACAAGAGATCATAAGGAATGAGTCTGGTTCACTGTTGGCGGGGACTCCGGGGCTGCTCGCTCAGCCTGACAGGGTTTTGTTTCAGTGGTGTCCCTTGACTTCCTTTCTGAGCTTGTAGTGCGTGGCCCTTTCAACATCTATTGCTTTTTTTGCGGACTTTTCTCTATGCTGTTTCTTTTTTGCCATCCTTTGAGCCTGTCCTGTGAGAACACTCTGGTCTTCTCTGTGACTTTATGGACCAAGGTAGGAGGGCAGGCTGGAGTAGAGGCTGGCCACAGCCCACATGTAGCTGTCAACCGTTTCTGTATCACCAAAGAACACGTGACACAAAGAGGGTTGGCGAGTTCATTTTCTGGGGGAGGGGGTGATTCCGTAGTTTGGCCAGATGACTTCAGAGTCAGAATGATAACCTTCAAGTCAGCACAGCTCTATCATGCTCTGTCTGTCAGTATCTATTACTAACACTTAGAAAGGGTTATAAGAAAGCTGACCTTGATTGAATTTTACACAGACTTGAAAAGGAATATTCATGATGTGAATTTATAAACTCTGAAAACATACATGGTAGTTTAGAGAAATACTATCTAATCCTGCTTTACCTTGGGCTCTCACCTAATACCTCCCTATTACAAATGCAATGTAGAACAATTTATATAGAGTTCAATGCTGAATTCATGAGTTTTTGTGATGACTCAGTCTAACTTGTTTTTTTTTTTTTTTCTAACTTGTTTTTGTAAAGTGTACAATGTCAAGCACATGGGTTTCTTTCCTTACCTCTAACCTATGGGAGATCTCAGGAAGCTTTGTAATTGCAGGCTCCTTGTAAACAAATTCTTGTTCATCCAAATCCCCAAATTTGGATCCATAGAAACCAACTCGGAAGTAAGTTCCAAACATTCTCTTATGATCCTGTTAAACAAAATAAGAAAAACCTCTCTTTAGATATGTCATTCCTGAAGATTTATTGGGTTAAAAGGACCTTTTATGATGTCTCAAGCATTTTATTTCTACAGCTGAAGTAAACAAATTTAATGTTTATAGCATAAACTTCAGAAATCGTAACAAATGAAATCCCAGGAAAGATTTCTAGGATTTCACTTAAAGGATTTAAAAGATTGTCACATTTCTTGGCTATAAAGTAAATCAGACTGCTTTTATTCACACCCTGAATTCTGGATCTATGTCAACCTTGAGTCCCTCTCTCTTTGATGGGTGAGAGTTACAGCAATGATAACTCAAGGTAAATCAGTCTCTAGAGAGGAGAGAGGGCTGAGCATCTCTGAGACAGGGTCACCTGCTGCCAGGGGGCAGTGCCATTAGCTGGAATCTCCAGCTACCTTGTTTTTTTTTTTTTTTTTTTTTTGGTTTTTCTCCGGTACCAGGAACCGAACTCACGACCTTGCGCTTGCCAGGCAGGCGCTTTGCTGCTGAGCTAAATCCCCAGCCCTCCAGCTACCTTGTTAATGATGTTGTCAAAGGCCTTCTGCAGCTTGTCATGAGTGGAGGCCAGCTTCCGGAAGTCTCGATGTGCTTCCAGAATGGGGATGACCATCTTGTAGACCTCATTAACTGTCTCGTACAAACCTCCCTGGGACACAAAAAAGAACCAAAGAAACTTTAGATCATTGGATTTGTAAGAAGAGCAGCCAGAGTTTACTTTGAGAACAGTGTGCTGGAGAATATATTTATTATTCCTTCACAGGACTTTACAGCATATGCATGCTGTCTGAGCACCCCTGGGATTCTTGGAGCTTTCAAACTGAACCACACACATTAGTAAATGGTCCTAATGGTGATGCTGAATAGAAAAAAAGATTTTCACATAGAAAAAGCAAAACAAAAAACCAGGAGAGGAGATTGGGAGCAGAGACTAAGAACATTTAGGAAGACAGCTTTTGTGTATCTAAAGCTCATCGGAGCTCCGCCTCTAGCCTGCTGGTCATGTGGGTCAAGGGAGTTAACAGGATGCTAACTAACTTAATTTCTGGAATTTCAGAGAAACAAGCGTATATTGGAACTTCTCTGAATCCTGACAGAAAAAGAAAAAAGAGAAGATGGGTAAAATAATAATTAAATTACATAGAGGTTATAGGAAGAAAACTTGGAGATGAAAAGTAGAGAATAAATAATAACATAGGAATGAAAACAAAATTAGCTAACTGTGGTGAAATAGGAGATGTTTATCTGCTTTATAATGTGAACAAAGAGTGAGATGATTAAAATGAAAACTGACGTGAAGCTTCTGCCTCACCCTGAATCTCTTATTAGTAGTATTTGGGCTGAGATTAGGTGAACGAGGGAGGTCTCAATGGTTTCTGCGCCCCCATTTCTCTAGCTGGTCCTGTCTCTAGAGATCCTGAAGATACCTCAGAGACTGCAGAGAAGACATTATGGACTCCTGCCCTCTCCTCCCAGTTTTCTTCTCTATGAGAGGGAAAATGAGGGAGTGAGAACATGCCTCATCATGTATTGTGTAATCCTGGGCAAGCCATTTCACCTCTCTGTGGCTGAGTTTCCACCCCATTAAATGGAAATAACCCTGTGAAACTGTGACCCAGCCAATGAACATGCAGTGCAAACCAGAATATTCCGTGATGAAAGGCCTTCTCATCCGCCTTGGAGAGCTGATGCGACCTGTGGGCATCAAAGTCCTCCCCGGGCCCACCCCTTGGCCTGCACACCCACAGCGTGTATGAAGTGGGCTCGCTGGGCCGTTAAGGCTGAACACTGTTAGCAGCTGGGGTTCAGCCTTGGGACGCCTTCTGGGCACTGACCGTGCTGAAGAGCTCCGCAGCCTGCTCCAGGAGGCCCACCAGGCCGCTCTCCGTGAAGTACCGGCCCGAGCACACTCCGTCCTCATCGGGTGATAGGGTGTCGTCAGAGATTGCAGACTCTTCCAGCACGTTGGAAGAAATATTCTGCAAGAGATCACAGTATGAGCAGGAGAACAGGGGGAGCAGGTTTGGAAGGGACTCAGAGAGCCCATAGTGTAGGAATCAGGAAGCCAGCTCTCCAAGGTCCTCTCCAAGGCTGTGAGAGCGGCGAGTGTGTGCTACTACCCAGAAGAGCTCTGCCTGGTGTTCACCGTGAAAGGAGGCTCAGCAACCTGCTCTCAACCTCACTTCTTTTTCTTGTTAACTTTCAGGGGATTCATAGAAAGGGCATTTTTCTCAAGGTAACAGCAGTTGAGTTGAAACAATCCTATTTTAGTGAAACCATCCTGAGGGACAGCAAGAATCTTGGCCTTTAGAAGGCAAAGGCTGGTGAACACTTAACTAGATTCTGTTTCATCAACCGAGTGAGTCTCTGACTTTTGGGGATGTTCTTCTGACATAAGCTACAACTACTGTTTTGCCTCTCAGATCAAAAGTCATACTATATGACAACAGAAAGTGAGAATGTCTTCTTTCTGGAAGATTTTATGGCAGTGCAGCAGTTGCCATTTCCCTCTGACCATTTCATTTCTATATAATTTTTCTTTATAAAAACTAAACTTTAGGGCTGGGGATATAGCTCAGCAGCACAAGCGCCTACCTAGCAAGCAGAAGGCCCTGAGTTTAATTCCTGGTACAAAAAAAAAAAAAAAAAAAAAATCAGTAAAACTAAACTTTAGAGCCTCTAGCAGGGGATGCAGGGACCAGGGTGAGGGAGACCCGAAAGAGAAACCCAGGTCACAAAACCGGGACGCACTCTCTCTGAGGGTCACACACTGCTAATCCTACACTGGCCTGAGCCCGAGAGAGAGAATCTCTGTACATTTCATGCCCTGTGCACTTCACCCAAATTGTGACCCTGGCACAATCAACTTGACAGGTCAAAAGTAATTATTTTCTTGACTCACAGCTATGGAATAAATGCATGCGGAATACAGAAGAAAAGGGGCCCTTCCTAGCCTATGGACTGCAAATAGGTAGCAGACATGCCACTGCTTCCTATCACTGTGTGAATGGCGGTCACGAAGGAGGGATTATAATACTAGTTCCTCCAGAACACGGACATAGTCTCAAAATTTTCCCAGCATAGTGTTCTAGTCAGCCGTCACCAATTTAGCAGAGGTGTTTGTGAAGGAAAAGCTGTCTGCCTTCTAGGAGGGCTAGGAAGATGAAGAGAATCAACTTCAGCAATTGATGGGGAGATAGTCGCCATATCTGTCCCTTTACATCCAACATTATAATGTATTTTTATGAATACAGGTGGAGTTTGTCAAGGTTCTTTGTGATCAGTTTTTCTTTCAACCCTAACTTATGTGTTATGATATTTCTGAATTGGAGGCAGCACAAATTCCCATAACTTCCACTGAAAGAAAACAACTCAGGAAACTAGTACTATTACAATTACCTTCAATCTTATACACATAGAAGAACAGATATAAAGCTATTAGGTTATTAGCTGTAGCCAGAGGAAAAAGCTTCTGGGAAGATTTCCCTGGCTTTAGATTTAGGGAAGTAAAAGTAACAGCAGTACCTGAGACACATCCATATATACATGTGTTAAATAAATACTGTGGTCCAGAGCACAGAATTTTAACGATCTCAGTTTCTTGCAATTCAGTGACCTCAAAGTTATTTTTCTGTACAAGATTTATCTCTAGTTCACAAGTCTTTTCCAAATGTTCGAGTTTATTGGGGCAGAACCAGATCGAAACATTTAAGAAAAAGCAACAGTGCACAGGTGTTGTTAACACTACCCATAATTCCTTCCTCCTTCTGTAACATAAAGCGCTCCTTCTTTTGGAGAATCACTCGTAACGTTAGATGAAGATCTGTGACTCTGACCTAGCCAGTCAGATCACGTGATTTCTTTGGCCATTATGACTGGTTCAGGGATAAACACATTACCCAATCAGAATACCTAAGATGTCCTGACACTTTCTCTGCAGCTGTTAGAAATGAGGCATCTCTCTTTTCTCCCAGGCTTGAACCTGCAGATGAGAGCCTAGTCCGTAAGCAGGGTAGGAAGTCTATGAAGAATGAGGGCCAGTGAACTGAAGGCAGGACAGGAAGTGGTGAGGACACTGAGGTCTGACGGCTCTGTTTGGGTCTTTAGTTGGTGAGTACTACTCCAGGGTAACCTCCCTTATGCGGGTGGATGAATTCCGTTTTTACCATGGGTGTTCTGTGGTGCTTAAGCATCCATTTCCAAACTGACTGGTATGTCTCATTGGAGAGAAGCAAGGATTCACCATAAGCATTAGCATAATTTGGGATCTCTTTTGTTTTTTGTTTTTTTTTTTTTTTTTGGTTTTTGGTTTTTCTCCGGTACCGGGAACCGAACTCACGACCTTGTGCTTGCCAGGCAGGCGCTTTGCCGCTGAGCTAAATCCCCAGCCCCTGGGATCTCTTTTGGACCAGAGAACACCTAGCTCATCGTGCTCTTCACACATTATGAAGGCCTCACCTTTCACAGCTTATTCTACCTTCCCCTCCACCTCCTTTATCCTTTCCCTGACCCTCAGGCTGGGCCACACTGTAAATGCTCATACTGTAAATGCTCACATAAAGAGACATAAAATGTCTCTTTATAACAGTACTCATCATCATTGTAACTGAATGAAGAACGGAACATGTAGTTACACAATGTTCCTGGTTGGAATGCAAAGTTTATGAGGACAGATTAAGTGCTAAAAAGATCCTCTAAAAGAGGGATGAAGGGATAAAGATAGGAAAAGACAGAGCGGTATGCCCTCATGTAGAGATAATGTGGCATTTCTGTTGATTTTGAAATAACCATTGTATCTCACTTTGGCATGTCTCATTAGAGACAAAATAACTAGAGTCTAAGTCAAATATGGAGAGTAAGGCTTATTAAACACAAAAGTAAAAAGAAATTAATATTTCAGTGATTAAATAGTAAATAAAACATAGTAACAGTGAAAGAGGCATAAAATTATGAGAAATGGTAGCAAATAAAATAAGAAAAGCTGATTCAATTCAACATTAAATGATAAATCTAAAGATTTTCTGGAAATAGAAGAATACCACTGTGCTTAGCCTTGATAATATCCCATGGCCAAAATACACCTGATGAAAGAGCCGATAGCGGTACTGGGGATTGAACCAGGACTTTTGCATTGATTTACGTCCCTACCCCTTTTTTATTTTGAGACAGCATCTCGCTAAGTTGCTAACCTGCCTAAGCTGTGCTTGAACCTGCAATCCTCCTGCCTCTGCCTTCTAGAGTGCTGGAATTCCAGGCCTAAACTGATTTTTAAAGTCGTTTTCTCGTTCCCTTTTATATGGTTCCAAATGAGATGTAATCTTTTTATGCTTCTGTATGTGTAATTAATCATTGGCTTTTATAAGAAACATTTCTGAATTGAGAATACAATGTCTTTGCTGAGAGTGAAATCATACAATAAATATTTTTGCTCTTGAGGACACAAGAAAGGAGGTGTTAGGAACAGGAAGCGAACCCAGCTTTGCAGATGAGCAAACTAGAAACTTCTGACTCTAGCAGTCATGGTTTCGGTGACTTATTCTCTAAGCCTGGGAAAGCGACTTTGAACTGTCCTTTCCTTTTGTTTGACAAAGCATCACAAAACATGTTGAAGAACACTAAGGAGAACAAAGCCTTTCATAAAATCAGTCATAGAAACTCAAGCAAGAAGAATACAAATACTTGCAACTGGCTTTTTAAGTCTGGCTTGAAAAGACCTCGATTACTGTAGCTACATTGTTTGCAGTTTCAGGGATGGTCATCTCTGCAGATTATGCCGAACACTTTACACTTCTTTATCCTCTAAAGACTGTATGAAGCTGCGCCGTAAGAACAGTCCAAGTAGCAACCGAGCCTCCCAGTCTGAGCTCGCTTTTAGGTCTGGCACAGTTTCGCCCTGTCAGTGCTGGATAATTTTCAGCTCATCCTCAGAAAACACTGATTTAGCTTTTTGTTTCCCTTCCCAGGTCAGTTTGGTTCTTTTTAAGTTTTGGATCAGAGAATGAGACCCTACAGAGTTGAGGAGTGTAATCAAGGGATTAGGCCAAGAGGGAAATCATTTCTCCAATGTTCAGAAATACTTTCCCGCTTGTCGGAATACAGTGCCAATTACAGGCCTTTGAGAAAGAGTTTAAATGACCTTAGGAAAATTGTTCTCTCAGTTCCTAGATCTGTGAAGTGGGAGTAATAACATGCTCGCCGTCTGCCAGCTTCACAGGTTTATTGCAAAGGTCAAATGAAATCACGCATGTACTTGTTTGAGAATGTCTACTCAAGTGCCTGTTGACTCTAAACACCATTACTGTAAACAGTAATTTAAAAAAGAAAGATGGCGAAGCAATTAGAGGAGGCAAATACAACACATTAACACAGGGTTTTTCAGCCTTGGCACTATAACCACTGAGGTCAGATAATTCTTACCAGGCGGAAAACTCCCTACGCACTGTAGAACGTTCAGCAATATCTGGGGCTCCTCCCTGCTAGAGGGAGGCAGCACTCACCCTCCTACCCGCCGTGGTAACAACCCAAAGTGCCTCTGGACATTGTCACATGGGGGTCAAGGCAAGATTGCCTCTGGTAGAGACCACTGCTCCTAGAGAAAAGCTGAACTTGACCGCACCTGAAAGCTGACACTGCCCACAGGCAGGTAGCTGTGGTCCTCTAGCATGCTCAGATACTCGGCCACTAAGGCGCCTGCGTGCACCAGGCACATGGCAGCCTCTGTGTAGCACTTCTTCTTGGTGTGTTTCTCCGCCATGTTCTGGAGCCAGGTCAGCCTCAGATCAGGAGACGTTTGGTAACTCTTAGCAATTCTGAAGACAAATTAACAAACAGGATGAAGGAAGACCAGTTAAAGACACGGTTCTATCGTATATGGCTACTTTTCCCCCCAAGATTTTTGCCTACATTTTCAGAAAATGAGAGAAAAAGCAAATATTTTCATCCAACTATGTTTATTCCATGCCTGGGGTGTGCTGGACAGAAGAAAGAGCATGTAGGAAGAGCCTTTTGAGAAGAAAAAGGCCTTGGTAAAATGATGTCCTTTATCACAGATTTCAAGCAATTTTCTTCCTTTCCTTTCATAATATCAGAAGAAAAAAGCACTACCCTAGTTATGATGTTGCATTGGAAAAATTCTGCTTCTGTAAGAAGTTCCTCCCAAACAAGGACTGGAAGGCAAAATTTTAAACTAGGGAGTGAAATATGATTCTAATATAAAACCATATATAGATATAAATATGTCTGAATATAAGTGGGACAAAACCATATAGGAAAAAAATTCGCATAACAGGTGATAATTATTTTCTCTCAGTCTATTTTAAATGGAAGAAGTGTTATAAATTAGGTAACTCACTTTAAATTAGGGTGATGTTTCTGAAAATTCATGTATGTGTGAGTTAACCCGTTCTGAATGTGTAATTTCCAACCTTTTTCACATATACGTTTGGATGTCATCAAAACAGTTTTACCCGTGTTACTATGATAACTGCATTAGTAAACATGCTATAGTGACAAATCCCAGACCTTCCACATAGTACCCTTTTGATTTTATCAGAAGTGTTCACCTGTACATGAGATCCATGAGCATCTCAGGATCTTCTTGAAATTCTCTCATTTTCACTGTGTCATATAAGATGCTATTCAGATTGCAGAGAAGCTCTTCTAGCTGCAAAGAAGTATAAGGTCTCAATAATTCAGGGTGTGCAGTCCACTGTAAGGAGTTAGGGTTATATTGAACTTGCATAGGGGAATCTATGGTAAGGCTTTGTACAGAGAGAAGCAGAGACCAGAAGTGGAGGAAACTCTAGACTGGCTCCTCTGTGGCTTTCATGCACGTAAGACCAGGTACTTCTAAGGCCCAGATGTGAGCTGGTCTTGTGAGCCATGAAGTTATATATTATCTGCTACTCTAACACCCTGTATTTAAATTAGTTTGAACTAGTTTCAGTTATTTGCAACCTGGAGCATCACGATTTTTATACCAAGTACAGGCAGCTTAGGTGCTCAGCTTGGGTTCCATGTTTCTGAAGCTTTCTGGATCTTCTTGAGGCTTCCAAATTTTTAGAACTTTGGAGCCATTTAATTGAAGACACCGGAGGGGCAGCCAGCGGGGCTTGCAGCACACCAAGGCTAAAAGACTGTGGGTTGATATGTGGACCCCGGCAAGTGGTTCAGCTACAGAACGTTCTCCTATTCGTTCTACCAGTTTCCAGGTCTTTTTTTTTTGAACAGGAATCAAACTCAGGATCTTGAGCTTGCCAGGCGGGCACTGAGCTGCTGAGCTATATCCCTGGCCCCTCCAGGGCTCTTAAAATTCGTTCCACTAGACTTGTTTAGTTGGGCGCAGACACTGAAGACCTCTATTATATGGCCCCTACTTTGCTTGGTCTTGCTGGCAAGTATCCCTGTATACTGATGACATTAATTTATAGGAGCATGGTCAAGAGGAGATGAGGGAGGCAGGCTACGACACAGAGCAGAGGGCCGGAAAAGAGGTCTGAGAATGAGAACACGACCTTACTGCAGAAAGCGGGAGAGGCTGGGCCACAGAGCCCTCACACTAAGGGAAGAAAGAAAAATTCACTCATCCTTTCATCATTCATTCTAACTTAAGTGGGAACCCAGCACAGAGTAGGCCAGGAACTTCAGCTAAAAGATAAAAGTCGTGCTTATCTTTGTATTTCACAGCAATGCAATGGGCATGGAGAGGTGACCGCCCAACGTTTCCTTATCTCTCCTTACTAATCTTTTGTACAAGTTTGTTCTAACCTGTGCGCACTGGTCAAGCTGATCCTTTCACCCTTTCTTACACACAATTCATTCTCACCCCTACCATAATTTCCTCTTCAGTTCCCTGTACCTGCCCCAGCCTTTCTGGGGCATTAGATTGTTTAATTACTCCCTCCCTTTCTCTGACCCTACACAGCATTTAGTGTCTGTCTTGTATTGACCCTTCATTGCTTTGAGACTGCACTTTCCAAACAGACTCTTGGGATCTGAAGGTTGGGGACACTGGTGGATAGGTTTTTTAAGAATTTTAAGGTACCGGAACACGCATATATTGGACAGGCAATAAATAGCTGTAAATAATATATAATGTCTAAATTATATTTGCATAAACACACTGTGTTTGTGTGTATTGACAACTGGCCGATCCCAAACTCTTGCATGAAGCAAGATATGCTCACTGGTCTACCTGGACAGGAAAAAGAGTTGACTGCATGGCTGTGTCCTCTTCTGAATAGGCCAGAATGGTCCTCAAGGATCTTCGCAGGTGCTCCTCATTAAAGTCTGGCGCTTTGCCCACCAAAGATGCCAGAGACATGGTTACTTGCATCTTTACTCTTGCAAAGTTCTGCATGAAAAAAGGAAAGCAACAACAAAAGCATAAATAGAGATACTCAGCTGGTAAATAATTGAAGGTGGTAGGGCTAGACAGAAACAACTTCCTAGCGTGTCTTTTATTCCAGTCTTAATCATTTCCTTTTCTCTCAATGAAATGTGAGCTACACTCTGCACAAGACTCACATTATCGTTTAAATAGTTTGAATGGATGTTGCACTCATATAAATCTGTGAGGCTTTCTTTAAATTTTCATTGAGGACTGGGCTGCCTCCCTACTTCAAGGCTGGAAGATTCTTAGAAAATTAGGTCACAGAATGTACCTTTTTGGGTCAAGATTCTCTCCTAGGCATTTTATTTAAACTGTAAAGAGGAATGAGACATCCAAGGCAAGGGCTCCTGAGATTTTATATTTTAAGTAAGCAACCACTTTTCATTTCTCAGGTCTTTCCAGGACCACAGGAACATACGGCTACCCCAAAAGCCCATGGGAAATGCCTTAAAGAGTTTTCCTTTCATATGGTACTGGGGATTGAATCCAGAGCCTTTGCACTGAGCTACATCTGCACCCTTTTAAAATTTTTTTGTTTGTCTGTTTTTTTCCGGTACCGGGAATCGAACTCATGACCTTGCGCTTGCCAGGCAGGTGCTGTGCTGCTGAGCTAAATCCCCAGCCCCCAATTTTTTTTTTTTTTTAAATTTGAGACAGGGTCTCACTAAGTCACTAAGTTGGTCTGGCTGGGCACAACCTTGCAATCCTCTTGCCTTAGCTTCTCAGAGTACTAGGATTACAGGCACGCTGCACCATGCCCAGATCTTATAGAGTTTTAAATAGTCACCTCTAATATATTCTGAGGACCCTGCATTTCTTCCATGGGCAATTTATCTTTTAACATCATTTGAATATGCTTACTAACAGGATCACAAATAAAAATTCCAGAAGAACCTATCTAACTCTGTATAAACTAAGGCAAAATTTTACTGTTTTACAATAAAGCTGAACTCCAAAGGCTTCTAAGCTTCGATTTAAACTCAGGTCTAGATGACATTGATCATTAAAAATTCTCTTCTAGAGTTCCTCCTGGTACCAGCCAGAATCAGCACCAATTCAGAATGAAGAAACAGTATACACTACTAAATTCCTAACCTGTCTGTTGTATTTGTTCCACAGATGGTAATTTTAAATCTATATGTATTCTTCCATTTCTTAGGGATACATACACACGGCAACCAGTGCATTCGTTAGTCCTGACTGTCACTCTAAGATGCCAATGCAGATGAAAGCTGCTGTCCATCTACATATTCAACTGTGTCTTACAGAAAGGAATGGCAGTATTGCCAAGTGTTTGAATTTTTTCCCCCTCTAACAATGTTTTGCATCGACTTCCTCTTCTAATTCTGGATCACCCAGCTGGTCTGAATTCTTACACTGGTGGCTCCAAAACTGAACCTCATGAGGAGGTAGAGGGTAGCACAGGCTTGGGTCCGGGTGATGTCCATGCTGCTGCTGCAGTGGTGCAGCACTCGCTGGCACAGGTCTGCACACTGTTCCACCTCCTCCTCGAACAGCAAGTCTCCGAACTAGGACAGACACAACAGGACATGAGCATCAGTTGGCACTGTCATATGCTTTCGGCTCTGGGTGCCTGTTGAAATATGCAAATGTCTGCTTGGACAAGCAAAATTCCCAGAAGACTTAATGCACTGCTCTATATAGATAATGAGCTACATGAGTCAGAAGATGGGTTTAAGCAATGAAGTCAACGCAGGATTTAATTATGAACCACACAACTAAGGCCAGGACTATTAACTTCATCGTTACCCAGGTTGAATTCACTGGTGAAGTCACATCTTTGAAGGAATTAATCATGAGTTTCCTGGATTCCCTGGAAATGACTGGTGACTAAGAAAGAGAAAAGGGTTCTAATAGGGGACAGTAGAATAATTTTACTTTTTAAAGTGAAGAGGCCCCTGTGGAGAAAGTACTCTATAAGATTGCTCATAAAGGAGAAAAACTCTCTCCATAAAGTGGGACATCCAAAGCTAACGTACATTCTCAGGCTATCAGAAATTAATTTCTAAACCTGTGGCATTGTATGACACATTTTGAAAATTTTTTTATTCATTTATTTTTGCTTTTCCAATATTTCTGACTTTTATTAGTACATGTTTGCGGTACATAATGATTCTTCACCACAGGGGATTGGCATATGCACATAACACATTTCAATCCTCTTCTTTCCCTGTCCCTCCAACCCCTTTTTATTTTTCCAGCGTCAGGTTCATTTATTTATCTTGTAAGACCTTCTAAAGTTAATTATATACACAGATTGAAAACCAGACTAATAGGCCAAAGAACATGTAAAACATGTAAGATGACTGTACTAAGTCAAGGTACATATTTTGTAAGACTTCCTAATGGGAGCCATGTATAGGATATAATCTTCTTCTAATAGGGCATGCAGGAGAAAGGGTAAAATTGTAGCCTCTCAATTTGTTTTTGTTCTCATGGCATAGACTCTCAGTGAGATGCCATTTCACATTTTGCTAGTCAGGGCTACATTTCACGGACACAACCAACTGCCCCTCCATGATGACTTTCCAGAAGACCATTACACCTACTTTCTTCATAGGAAGAATGAAGACATTTGATGCTGGGCCACTTAGTACACTCTGTGCAGTCTGGTCCACTTGAAGAGCGATGTGAGGCTACATGAGACTCTTACTCTTAATTAAGAGTAATAAAACAAGCATCTATGTTTACCTTGGCAATGAGGGCTCGGAGTGTCGCAAAGCAGTGAGTCAGGTACGTGGTACTCTGATCGCAACTCAGTGAATTCACCAGGACCCTCAGGACACCTCCTAGCAGGCTGTCTTTACAGTCCAGAGCCGAACTTGCCTGGAGGAACAGAGGAGAGCATCGCTGAATACTTGCACTGTGCCAGGAAGTTTGGGGCTGAAAACAAGAGGAGCTCCAGTTGATTAACTCAGGGATCTGATGCTCCAGCGCCTTCAGATAAAGGTCTTACGGGTTTGTGAGCCACCGTATCACATGCTCCTTCTTTGAAGTCCACAAGGGACAGCTTTACTTGTCAAAATCACAGTTGTGGGATTCATGGTAAAACACGGCTGCTTCAGGGCAATGCTGTTTCTAAACAGGAATGTATTTATCAGCTGCAGCAGGACTAACCATACCAAGGATAATAAATAAATTTCAGGGCCTGCCTGGCAAGTGCAAGGTCCTGAGTTCAATTCCTGGTATGAAAAAAGTAAAAAGTAAAAATAAATAAATAAATTTCAGCTTTCCTGGAAAACTACTAATACATTTTAAAGACTGTTGTTAGCATCCAAAGTCATGTTATTAAACAAAAAACCAAAAAAAAAAAACCCAAACAAAAAACCAAAGTCATGTTGTATAAAGATAGCATAATATGATTCTGAGCATTTACACAATCAAAGATATGGAAGTCATTAAAGATATCCCACATTTTAACTTTTATTGTTGTACAGTAATGATTTTGATTTTAGACAAGTTAAAAGTTATATAACTAAGGTTCCACTGCATTTCAACAGTATTGCTTCTAGCCCTAAAAGCAACAATGGATCTCATCTAAAAATGGTTTTTTGGGGCTGGGGATTTAGCTCAGCAGTACAGCGCCAGTCTAGCAAGCACGAGGTTGTGAGTTTGATTCCCGGTACCGGGGCGGGGGGCGGGGAGAGGGGAGTGGCTTTTTGAGGTAAATGTAAAGATTTATAGTTTAGGGCAACTGAAAAGTCATTACCCTATAGGTTTCTTGGGACTTTTTGGATTTATCATTTAGAAAATTAAATATGCTTTGGTGCAAAGTTCACAGTGACACTATGTACTGGTAGTCCTTCACTGGTATCTATATAGGAATGGTTCCAGGACCTCCTCCCTTCCTCCAAAAATACCAAAATCTGAGGATGTTCAAGTGGCTCTGTAAAATGTTGTGATATTTACATATAAACTACACTCATCCTCCAGTTCCTTTAAATCATTTCTGTATTACTTATGATATTTTGCACACTAAAAATGGTACATACACAGTGTTATATTTTATTACTTAGGGAATAATGATACAAAAAAGTCTGTACATGTTCAATACGCATGCAATATTTTTGAACTGCAGCTGATTGAAAGTGAAGATGCAGAACCTGCAGATCTAGAGGGGTGACTGTACTTTTCTACAGCAGGTATGGCAAATTCAGGGGACAAACAACTTTCTCTGATCAACTGGAGTCTAAAACAGTCATCATTTATCATACTTAGCACTGCTTTTAACCTAGTCCAGTCACAATAACAATCCCCACACCAGTGATGGCAAATCTTTTAGAGCCAAGGGCCCAGGATGCAACCCAAAACCCACTTATTTATCGCAAAGTGCCGGCACTGTAATTAAACCTTGAATACTGAGGTTTCAGTTTAGACTAAACAACTTATACGCTAATATCTTTTGTCTTAAAAGAAAGACAACATGTGTGCCATAGGTTCACTATCACCGCCCTATACCAATCAATCAGTGACCATTATTCAACTGAAGTTGACTTATGCAAAGAAACCTAGTTACCAAGCCTATTCTAGATACTAAACTAGAAGCCCACTATTCACATTATGAACCTGGCACATAGGTGGGCCACTTTAACCATGGGCGTCAGCTCATCAAACACCTCACTCTTTCCAAGTAAAGATGTCACAAGAATGACGTCTCTGGAATGTGTAAGGTGGATGCTGTTACAAAGCAAACTTCCCAAGTTCATTTTTTTAAAAAGGCATTTTGGGATCATGTTTGCTTCTTTTGCGATTTTAAATAAAGAATTCCTTCTAAAATTCCAGTAAATACAGTCATGTCAAACAGATCAGAGGAGGTGTTTATTGTCCTCACCTGGATAATGTTCTCCTGCATATCCAGGATGATTAAATTTGCTTCTGTAGCTAGATTGCCACTGATTAAGGCTTCTTGGTCTATCTCTGCCTTCGTTCTAAGAAACAAAAAAGAGGTCAAATTAAAGCACAAATGAAACTTGGCCAGGTTCTAATGATGGCAATCTATGCGCTGAAGCATAAAGAAATCCTTGGAACAGTTAACCTTGAAATGAAAATAAAGCAGCTGGTTCGAGTATGTAAGAAGCGCAGGCGCCTTCTGAGATTGATGCTTGCCTAGAAGACTATCTAGGTAAAGTCTCCAGGTCATACTCATCCCCTATTATAAATAATGATGACAATTACAAACATAACAAAATGGGCAGAGATGCAATTATTGCTTGCTACTAGCAATTACAAGAGCCCATCAGATGGTGGCCTAAAGCTTTAGACCTTTGCCTGGATCTCATGCATCAGAACTATCTTCAGATCTGAGTGAGGGGAAGCCCCTGCAACGTGCTGCAGACGCTGGGTGTGATGTGAGTTTGGCAAACAGCAAAGCTGCTAGGTTAGCAAAAGGTGATGCTACAGAACCAGGTCAGAGAAGATAAGATCTCTTAACTTCCCAAACAGCATTTTAGGTTTGCCTAACCAAGTGTAAGTAAGGCCTTTTACCCTCTTCCAATGGAAGGCAAAAGTTGCACTCCTGGAGGGCAGGTCATCTACCATACTGCTGGAGACTATAAGTTATTACATACTAAGGAATGGGAGAGAAACTGCCAGGTTCTGTTTCTCTATTAAGTTTCATTTTAAGGAATCGGTGTGGTTTATGCACTAATCAATTTGTTTTCATAAAATCCAAGTGAAGCTGGAAAGGTATTAAATAAAAACCCTCATCCATGGTTTTGCTTTTGTGGTTCAGGTATCTATGGTCAATTGCTATCTGAAAATATTAAATGTAAACTTCCAGAAATAAACTATTAGTTTTAAGGGCCGGGTGTGGTGGTGCAGGCCTGTAATCCCAGCACTCGGGAGGCTGAGGCAGGAGGATCGTTGCAAATTTGAGACCAGCCTGGGCTACAAAGTGAGAACAAGGACAGCCTGAGCTGCATATTGAGACCCTGTCTCAAGAAGACAAAAAAAAACCCAAACAAACCAAAAAACCAAAAAAAACCTATTAGTTTCAAATCATGCGCCATTCTAAAGAGCATGCTGTACCTTTCCATTTAGCCTGAAGCAATGGTTTGTCCAGCGTATCTATGCTGTATGTGCTACCCACCCTTTAGTTAGGTGGTATCTGTTTTGCCTATCAGATTGGATGGGATATTACAGTATCACAGTGCTTTTGTCTATAGGATTCAGTGCCATCTGTGATTTTGGACATCTACTGGGGCTTCTTAGAATGTATCCCCTGTGGATAAGGAAGGACTACTGTATTTTGTATCACTATACACATTTAGTTTTGAGGAAAGAGATATGAAGAACTGATTTTCCCAAGATATATCAGTGGCCAAGATGGTACAATAAGGGCTGGATATCATGCTATGCATGCAGATGTCTTGGACCAGGATCACCATTTTAGCTGTTTGCTAGTTCCCCTGTTCCAGTAATGGACGGGGGATTGAACTCAAGGCCTTTGCACTGATCTACATCTCCAGCTCTTTCTTTTTAGTTTTTGAGACAGTGCCACTGAATTGCCCACTCTGCTCTTGAACTTGGGATGCTCATGCCTCATTCTTCCAGCTTGCTGGGGATTACAGGTATGTGCTGTCACATCTGGCTGATCTGGGTCTGGAAAAGCCTACCAGCTATTCTTACTCTACCAGTGGTTCCCAGACTTAATTGCAGAATAGAATCTCTTGGGGAGTTTTATCAAATACTGGTTCCTGGGTCTCACAGCTGGAGATTCTGAGTTAATCGGTCTGGGCATTTTGAAAGGAAGAGCTTTAAATTTCCCCAGGTGATTCTAATGTGTATCCTAGGTTGAAAATTACTGCTCTAAAAGAAACTAAAATAATTGGAATGTGATTTGAAAGAGAAAGGTGAAAGACACTATTATAATAATTACAAAAAGTTTTCCAAATGGCTAAGCTGAGCAGTTATACCTGTCCTAAGACAGCCCCTGGAGATTTGCAGATGTGCATCATTAGCTCTGGTAATGAGAAGCCCACCAGGTAGCTCAGGGCTGAGAACTAATCTAGAGAAAATTAGCAGGCCCTGCATGGTAAGATTCAATATTGTAGAGAAAATTGGCAGGGCCTGCAGAGTAAGATTCAATATTGTGTTGTTACTGCAAGCAAAGGGGAAATGTTTCTCAAAATATCAATTTACTCAGTCCAGGCAAAACACGTCTTGTGAGCCTTGTCTTTAATCCTGGAGAGTAAATGACCTAACGAGCTAAGCAGTTCTATAACTACCAAATGCACAGTTTTTGTTGTTAATATCGTACACTGTCTGAACTAGAATGTACTCTCTCAGAATCAAGTGTCTTATTAACCAGTTCAGGGAATGGAGCGCTGGAATAAAATGCCCAAAGCACATGGGGATTTTGATAAGACTAACAACCGGGTTTCCCAAGTAACATCTGTAATAAGAATTTGTTAATCTCTTTGATGTTCTGAAATAATTTGACTCCAAAAAAATCCCATAACTGAACCAGAATGTGTCATTCTTATGGTAGCAGCAGAGATATTAACAAATATTTACTTACAAAACAACACTGCTATTCAAATCTTCCCATCTTCCCCCATGAGGAATGTATTATCCACCATGGGAGTACCCTACTTATGCTTTATAAAGTGTGTATGTGTGTGTTTAACCATTAAGTGTTTTGCTCAGTGAATCCTGGGACTTATACCTATGAGGCAGAGGAGATGTGTACTATGTATTCAAATATATTTAGTTTTAATCTTCATATGTCTAAATTATTGCATATATAGTCCCCTTTATACATAGGGCATACATTGCAAGACAATCAAGATTTTTCTTCTTTCATTTCTTTGCATGTATTTTTCTTTTGACTGTAATATGTAACATGATACAAATTCATTGTAGGGAACATGAGAAAGTCTAAAAAACTAAATATCAATTCTCTATATTCACAGCATCCAAAGAAAACTATTATTATATTAATGTTCTTGGTAAATATTCCTTCTATATGTAATTAGAAATCTGACATGGTACTTTAAAACCAAATGCTTTTGTCCCCTTAACAATTACTCCATAGGCATTTCTCTATGTCATTAAAATGTTTTTAAAAAATTTAAAAACAAGCTAATATTTTGCTATATATTTCCCTATTCTTGAGCATTTATGGTTCTAATTTTTGAAACAATTTCAAGTAATGCTGACATAAATATCCCTGAATATATATCACTGTATCCCTTTCCAAAAAGGAAATACAGATTTAAAACTATGTGGACTTGGGCACCTTGTCTCATTTTCTCTATTTCCCTGCCCCCCACCAGCTGCTTTAATTAAGCTCTCTCAGGTTGCTTAATATTAGTTTTCTTTAAATGCTTATCAGTGGGATACAGTTTTAAGAACTGCAAATCATAACTCATATACCTTTGATCCTTGGATGAACCATATTTAAACAGATAGAAATGCTTCATTTTTCTGACCCTTGGAAGGATGCAGTTGTTTTAGTAATACAAGTAGCCTGGGAAAAATAGTTTCAGACCTTAAATAAAAGTAGAACAAAGTTGCTGAGTGACTCACTTATCTAGCTTCTCATTAGTTTGCCGCCAATGTGTCTGCTCCTTCCTCCATCTCAGATTTTCATTTAGGCCTGGAAATCGGTCATTCCCTAGGACTTAAGAAATGCACAACAGGAATGTGATTAGCATGAATCTCTCCAAGATAACCAGAATTTCCGTAACAAGCTCAACCGGGAGGACTCGGCACCATTTTTCTGGTTAATTAGAGCCTGCAGGATGCTGGGAGGAGATAAAACCTCTACTGCCAGCATCTGGGCCAGTCTGCTCTTTGATTGATGGCGGGAGCCTTAGGAGAACCCCTGCCTTTCTGGGTTGTAAAGAAGCACACTTCTCATAAACAGGGGCTTCCAGTGAAAGTCTGCAGGCTTTCACTGCATTATTGGCAGAGAGAGTATAGGTGTTACTCTAGGTGGCCAACCATCGCTGAAAAACTTGAGCTTCCTCCAACTTCCCTGCCATTATGTCCCATTGAAGAGAACAAGCTGTCACTCTGTTTAACTGAGAGGACAGTGAATAAGGAAGAAGTTTGATCAAAGGTACCGGGGCATTTCACTGTATTCTACAGTGATGAGCTCAGTTTTTTGAGGCCACTCCCAGTGTGGCAGGTCCCTGGAGGACTGGAACACTCTGAGATCATCTTGGGGAGTTGGTTCCCTTCTGACAGCGCCCTGAATGATTTAGGGAGATGATCTTGGAACTGTAACTCTCTATTTTCTTGACCGTGCTCCCAGTGTCTCCTAGAAAGGCCTCAGTCTTGAGGGAGGCACTTCCTACCTCCTTGATGACTCACATTCTGGTATGTGACCTTTACCCACAACCAAATTTTCATTAAAACGTGACATTTGGGACCTGGGGATGTAGCTCAGTGGTAGAGCACTTGTTTAGCATGTGCAAGGTCCTGGATTTAATATCCAGCATTACAAAACCAACCAACCAACCAACCAACCAAACTACCACCACCAACAAATCCTATGCTCTTTGGGGACATTTTCAAAGTCTTTGGTCTCAGAACAGCAACTTGCCTTTAGGTACAGAGGGGTAATATTGTATAGATCACACGCAGAATTCTAGACCTACTGTCTTTGATAGTGCCATAAATGTCTCAAGAGAGTGATTTCAGGAGGACATTCCTTTCTATAGAGGATGGAGAACTGCTTGACAAAAAGCAGGGAAGGGCTGGCCCAACACACCTGGACCCCTACACCGGCGCATCATCTCCCCTCTGGCCCCTTCCCCGCGGAGCAGAGCCTCCTCCAGCCTGGCCTTGACATCCCTCGACTTCTGCAGGACTTGAGTGCTGACCTTGTCAGAACTCGGTTTTCCCTAGACAGGACAGAGACAAGGGGACAATCATTTTGGTGGAAAGAATTGTCAAAACAGATCACTCCATGGTCATGTCAGCCAGTTCTGACACGTCCAGCAGCAGAAGGCAGATGTCCTTTCCCTATGTAGTGATCATATCTATACAAATGGAGGTAAGCTATGGATTTGAAATAAAACATATGACAAATTAATAAGGCAAACGGAAAGGAAGCGTAACAAGACAGAACTGAACTTGAAAAATAAAAGCTGGCATGAAGTTGACTTATCCCATGCTTACCTTGTACTCAAAACAGGAGACACAGATGAAAAGGAGGTCTAAAATTCCATTTAACTGCATTGATGGCAGGTCCGCGATCCATTTCTTAATGAGGCTCTGATCGGCATTTTTCATGATCCACAGGAAGCAAATCATGAGGTTTCGGGTGGTGTCAGCATTCAGCGTATTGTACTGCTTATAGGGCTGGAATGAAGAAGAGAAAGGGGTGGAAGGAGGGGAAGAAGTCAAGCAACAGAAAAACTGAAAGCTTAAGGTGTGCTAATCTCTTAGAACAGAGCAACTATTTCTTCCTTGGCTGAGTACCTGTTCCCAGCATCCCTGCCTGCTTAGGCAAGGAGGCAGCTTCCCTGAGCTGGGCTGCTCCTCGAGGGCCCCCTGGGGGAGTGCCTGAGCTAAGCTGTGGGCCACATAAGTGAGCATTCTCTCAGGAGCAATGTGGTCTGGTGCTTTGCTTTGGACCTCAACCGTGCTCTTTGATCTCCACGATACAAAAGGGCTTTCTTGCTGCTAAGATCTCCAAGTACTGTTTTTCTCTGCAGGATAAAGGTGGAGGGTTGGACCTATAGAAAAGAACTAGCCTGGCTGGGTGCCATGAATAACCTAACTGTTCCCGATTTAACTTCTTTGTTACAGAGTCTAAAGTATAACACAGGGGTCATGAACTGTTCAGCAAATGAATCAAATCCAAACATTAGCGTAGCCCTTCCACAATGGGACCCACAGTGATTTACATCTGCATGAGCACGGCTGGGAGCCCTCAGGCCATCTGCTATGATATTTTGGCCGCAAATGTTCATTTTAGAGCGCTGAGCACACTTCTGGTACTCATCACATCAACTCAAATAACAGTACTCGGCTGCACCCTTGGCTCACGCGGCACAGCTAACATCCACTGGAATGTGGTGGTGAAATCGCAGTGAGCTTTGTGCGAGTTATGCGAAGGCAAAGTGAGTTTGCCATGGTGAAGCAACTTTAACTTGAATTATTCTGAGTAAGTTGACAAGAAGAAAGGAAATCTTTAGATACAGCTTCACAGGGAACAGGCTCTAACAGGTGGGCTTTCTGCTTCTGAGTTTCTTCCTTAGAGGCAAGTAATATAAAAGACACACACAGCCTCAAGCAGGTCACTTTGATTACACGCGTATTAGAAAGGTGGAAGAGGTCATGAAACACAGTATTTATCAAACTGTAATGTCGGTGATGTGTAGTTTTAAAGGACTTTTCCCCTTACCTCCCTATCTGCCTAATTAGCCCTCCTGGGGATACTGAGCCTACTAAGTGCCGCAGGGAAGAGAAGACAGTCTTCCAGAAGAGTTGGGTCAAGACCTTGCCTTCTCAGAGGAGAACCATGTGGAGTTCTCTGCAGATGTATGTCTTACAATGAAAAGCAAAATTAAATTAAGCTGGAGCATACAGTGTTGTTTTGACAAGGGATAGTGAGAACTTAGCAAGAAATAGATGAATCCCGCCTCAAGTAAGTCAGAGCCCACAGAGTCAGGGCAAAAGCATAGCCAAACAGCCGCCCTAGGCTCTCCGGGGAGCTAGGCAAGGTGAAGCCTTTTGCTTAAAAACCCTTACTCCAAGTTTTGGCTCCTTCCATCTCTGTTTGGTGGCAAACACAGTATGACTCCTAAACACACAGAATAAGCACAGGACCTCGACATAAGGAAGCATCGGTTTGCTCTCCTTTGTAATGACCTGAACCTGAAACTTGGCACCACTGGGACTGCGTGGATCTGAGCTATAGCTTTTTTTTTTTTTAACTGTTGCCAGAATCCCGTCTGGTTCTTGTATCCCGCAGCTGTCAGCTCCATGATGGTTCCTTCCAGCACAGAGTAAGGAGGCAGAGACCATCTCTGTTTCTTCTAAGATGGTTCTCCTATCAGAAGAGGGGAGGAGACAAAAACAAAACCAACCCACAGAAATGTGCACCAACATACCAAGGAAGATAGCATCGTTCCACTTGTCTTCAAATTAAACTGGCTGCCGGCTATGGCCTGGGCCACGTTCTGGTTAATTGCACTGACCCCTTCCGCTTCTTCCTCTGAGCCATTCACGCGGCTTTTCGCACTACGAGCATCTGCGGCTGGAATTAAAGCATCACTGGTGACGTCAGGCCAGAGAGGACATTTCTCTATTCCTCTACTCAGCACCAATCTGCGAGTAGACTGCTTCGACAGGGAAGTCAGCTCAGTCATTTTAAGCCTGATGTTTGGCATTACTGACTTGCTACTATCTACAGAAAAATCCCAGCAGGCTACAAACAGGGACAAAGCACAAATGAGCACAAGATCAAGCCAGAATGTAAATTTTTCAAGTTGTGAAAATGAAAGTGTTCAAAGCTTTTATAATACTTTCCTGTGATATGACTTACTTTAGTTATTTAATTTTTTTTATTTTTAGTCATTTATTTTAAACCATGAATAGAAAAGGACCTACAATAACAAAATTCAGGAAGTACCTTATAGAATAATTAGCTATTATCACAAGTTCAACAATAATTTATGAAATATCACAGTTAATCTGAGATGAATGTTAGTTTATTTTGCCTAAATAATATAGATACATCTATATACACAGGATTAGATACATGCAAACAAAAAAAGGATTATTTATTTATTTATTTTTGTCTTTTTGAGGCAGGGTCTCACTATGCAGTTCAGGCTGGCCTTGAGCTCATTTTGTAGCTCAGGCTGGTGTCAAACTTGAGACAATCCTCCTGCCTCAGCCTCCCAAATGCTGGGATTACAGGCGTGTACCACCACGCCCGGCTCAGGATCAATCATTTGAAAGGCTATTTTAAAAATATGCTACCAATCACATACATAAAAACTGTTTGGGCTAGGTGTGGTGGCACATGTCTGTAATCCCAGCACTCAGGAGGCTGAGGCAGGAGGATTGCTGTGACTTTGAGGCTAGCCTGGGCTACAAAGTAAGTTTAAGGGCTGTCTCAACTACATAGTGAAACCCTGTCTCTAAAAGACAAAACAAAATAAAACAAAAACCACCTGTTTGTTCAAGTAATTTTTAAAGAAATATGTCAACACTTGATACTGATTAATTCACAAAAACCCCATGCTTTATCAGACCTGACAATACACACTGTATCAATCTGGACTTTGAGTTTTTCAGAAATGTGAGTATAGACGGCACTTCATTGCTAAACATTTAAAAATTCAATTTTGAGAAATAATAACTCAGTGTTGTGCTTTCATGCAACTGGTTTTCTAAACAAACAAACAAAAAAATGAAACAAATAACATGAAAATTATTATGGAAGACCTGGTAACATTATGAAGACTATTCTGAGGATATGTTCTTATTTCTCCTTAATATTCACAGGGCCATAGGTACAAGAAAAAGAGGAAAGGATACAAGTAGTACTTTATATTTGCTGTTCAAAATGTTTTATAGAAGTTCTGTAGTTTCATCCTTATTTTAACCCTAAGAAGTAGGCACTACTACCACAGTTTTACAATTTACCGAGGAAAGAGGAAGGGAAGACAACAAAAAACTGAAATTGTCAGTAGTCACATATAGAAATATATGGGGTTGACATCTGAGTTTAGATGTACCTTTTTATTTGAAAGACTGTATCTGGGTTTGTCAATGTAAAGTTTCTATATATAAGAGATGTACTATGTTATCCATAATTGTGGATTACTGTCTTCTATTCTTCATGATGGCAAAAAGTCCTTATCACCCTGACCATGAAATTCAATGCACAAGCAATGAAGTCTAAAAAGGCTCCGAGAACAAGTGTTGAGAAGTTCTGATTCCAAGGGACAGATCTGGAGAATTCTGATCAACAAGAAGCTTTGGAGAATGTGTGCTAACGTGCTTCCCTGTTTGGGAACAAGTCAGTCAGGGTTCTTGAAATGAAACGTTTCGAAAATGTTCCAGCAAGGAGCCTTGAAACGGGCTGTGAGCTCCGCGTCACTCCTTGCATTCTGAAGGTGCCTCTGTCTGTAGGTGCCTTCTGGGCAGTGTTACAGGGAGAAGCGTCTCAGCACCTTGCACAGCTTGCTCTCCCCTGTCTGCAAAGCTTATTTCTGTGATTCTCTTGCCCTGTGCCTCCACAGAACTTCACGAACCCTGGGCTTGTCTCTCAGTGGTTCTCTTTTTAGCCTCCCCTTTGGCAGGTTTTTTGGATTTCTCCTTTTGAAGAAGGAGCAAATTACTTTCATAGGAATGCTTGTCTTTCACCATATGATTTGCATGAATTGAAGGCCACACGGAATTGGTCCCATATCTACGATCTAAATAATTGTCATGGTAATGATTTTAGAAGTAATTTAGCCAATCATGACACTCACTGCATTTGGAGGGAGGAGGGAAACCTGGATGGCTCCACCATCCCAAGGACACCTGTCTATAGGGATAGCTGTGCTCAGGGACCGTACTCCACACCCCAGGGCCTTTCATCAAGACAAAACCACAGTCATTTCCAAGAATTTCCCTTGAGTTGGGGAAAAAGCGTGAACCACTTTGAAGTGATCAGGGTGAGTGTGTGTGTGTGTGTGTGTATCTTCCCCTACTTGCATTCTCTAATCCACACCATAATACATAGTCTGGGGAAGTGTACAAACTCTTTGAGAAAATTTATCCTTTCCCTTGACTGCTAAGCAAAAGATACTAACATCAGGATTCATTTCTTGGTGCTAAAGGCAAAATTTCTCTACTGTGGCAGAGTTTCCTAATATTGAAAGACATCATGATTTTGTGGTTGTTTGGCATAGAACAAAAGAATAGTTTGATTTTATTTAAGACTACAACTAAACATTTATTTGAGACTTTGCTCAAACATTCATAAAAGAAAAGGAAAGGAACATTTATGTCAAGGAGTTGGAGCAGTGATCTCCAAGGGGACTAATTCTGTTGCTATATTTCATGCTTTGAGTTGTACAGAAATATAGTTTGTATAGTTCACAACACACTCTCAGATCAATGAATGAATGAACAAATAAATAAATATACAAATAGTTTCTGAACACAAACATACACAGAGTTATGTGCTTTTTTTTAGCTGGTTGGGACCTGCATTTTCAAAAGTTTGAAGACTATTGCTGTGAAACAATACTACTTATCTAAGTACATCAGCATTAGAATTAATGTCAGGGACCTCTCTCTGGTGGGCATTTGGGCAGGGGCCACTATCAGCACAGGAAGGGGTAGAAGAGCATCTTACCTGTAAAGTCGTAGAGCTGTGGCAAAGCATCCAGAATGATGCCAACCAAAGGCAGGTAAAGTGCAGCAATTTTCACCTTCACCTCCGGTTTGACACATCGTGGGTCCAGGTCGTGAGAACTAAGCAGGCTGTGGATGGCGCTAACAGCTTTCCTTTGCACCTTGCTGATTCTGTTGGCACAACATAGAAATCTAGAGGTTACTGTGAAGGGAATAATCAAGACGCTCCTAAACAATAAGATCACACTGTGAAAACCAAGCAACCCAGGGTAGAAGTATCTAGAATCCCAAGAGAAGGGCTGTGTTCTAACCTGAGTCTGTTATTTACTATGATGCTTGCAAGCTTGTCTGGTAGGATGAATACTTCATTCCCTCCTATTACTAAATAATTCAGCTGCATAGATATACCACATTTTATTTATCCATCCATCAATTAATGGACATTTGGATTGTTTCCACTTGGAGCTACTACAAATTATGAATGCTGCTATGAATACTCAGGCATAAGTTTTTGTATGAATGTAAATTTTACCTCAGAGTGAAATGGCTGGATTTTAGAGTAGTGCCTATGTTCACCTTTAGAGGAACCAACGAATTGTTTTCAACAATGGCTACACCATTTTACGTTCCTGACAGCAATGTCTAAAGTTTCTACACTCTTCTTGCCCCACGCTATTATCTGTTTTTCTGTTTTCCTTCGTTCTTCATCTTCACGGTGCAGGCAATTCAACCTAGGTCCTAGCACAGGCTAGGTAAGTAGTCTACCACTGAGCAGCATCCCCTGCAATCTGTCTTATTATTTTTTAAAATTACATCCGTGCTAGTGAATATGAAGTAGCATTTAATTGTGGTTTTGATATACATTTGCCTGATAGCTAGGGATATGATATCTTCTCATTGCTTATGGTCATATCTTCTTTGGAGAAATGTGTATTCTTATCTTTAAAAATTGAGTTATTTCTCCTTTTATTATTAAGTTGTATGTATTTTACAAGATACATTATAGCTATGAGTCTCTTATTAGGTCCATGATTTGCAAATATTTTTTCCCATTCTGGGGGTTATCTTTTCATTTTCTTGATAGTTTCCTATGAATCACAGAAATTTTAATTTTAATCGAGTCCAATTCACCTTTTTTTCATTTTGTTGCTCATACTCTTTTTTTTTTTTTTTTAATTTTTTTTTTATGTTTGGTTTTTCTCCGGTACCGGGAACCGAACTCATGACCTTGCGCTTGCCAAGCAGGCGCTTTTGCCGCTGAGCTAAATCCCCAGCCCCACTCTTTTTTATTTTAAAAAATAAAAGGAAAACATATTAACAAACAGACATCCATTTACATAATAGCTTAAGAACAATACAAACAAAACAGAGTTACAGACAAAATTGTAGGAAATTAACCACGGTTGCTGTATTACTTATTCATATCTTCAAAGTGGCTTCTCAGGAAAACAGAGACATACAAGATTGATCAAACAAGTAATCATTAACTGTTCCTTTCTGTAGAGCAATAGAAGACAGGAGTACAACTATGTTAGCTATCCCGTGTATACATACTTACATAATTTCCCCTTCTTTCCCTTCTCTTTTCCCACACCCCCACTGCCCTTTCCTTTTGAGCATTTTCCTTTCATTTCACAATGTCTATCATACCTCCTAGTTTTTATTCACTCTTTCAGGTCTTACACTAGTGAGACAATATGATGCTTACACATGTAGGTCTGACTTATTTCACTTACGAGCATGATCTCTAGTTGTGACCATTTACCTATAAAAGCCTCGAGTTTATCTTTATTTATAGCTGAGTAATATTCCATTATATAAAAGTACCACAATTTTCTTATCAAGTCCTCAGTGGATGGACATGTGGGTTGCTTCCACAGTTTAGCAATTACAAATTGTGCTGTTATGAACCTGGGTGCACATATATTGCTGTCATATGATGTTTTTAGATCTTCTAGGAAAATACCCAGAAGGGGAATAGCTGGGTTGAATGGGACCTCTAGACCTAGTTTGCTGAGGAATCTCCAAACTGATTTCCACAGTGGTTTCACCAGTGCTCATACTCTTCTTGCCTAATCTAAGTTCATAAAAATTAGCACTAGATTTCATCTAAGTACTATATTTTATAGTGTAAGCTCTTCCATTTAGGTCTTTGATCTACTGGAGTTAATTTTTACATACAGTGTGGGTTAGGAGTCTAACTTCCTTCTTTTGAATGCAGACATCCAGCTGTCCTAGCAACATTTATTAAAACACTATTTTTCTAGAATTGTCTGGGCACCTTTGTCAAAAAACAACTAACTATAAATGGAAAGATTATTTCTGGACTCTTAATTTTAACACTCTATATATCTGCCTTTATTTCAGAGCCACATACTCTTGAGTGCTTTTGTTTTATGGTAAGTTCTAAAATTAGAAGGTGAGAATGTTCCAATTTCATTCTTTTCTCAAGATTATTCTGATGATACTGGTTTCCCAGCCTTCCTACATGTCTTTTTTTTTTTTTTTTTTTTTCAGTACCAGGGATTGAACTCGCAACCTTGCACTTGCCAAGCAGGCGCTTATGCCACTGAGCTATACCCCCAGCCCTTCCTACATGAATCTTAGATTTAGTTCATTAGTTTCTGCTAAGCAGCCAGCAGAGATTTTGAGAGGGACTGCACTGAATCCACAGATCATTCTGAGTATTACTGTCAGCCTAACAGTATTAAGTTTTCTGATCCTCAATATACATGTCTTTATTTATTTAGATCTCTATTTCTTTCAACAGTATTTTATAATTTTCACCATACAAGACTTTCACTTTCTTTGCTACATTTATTCCTAAGTACTTTATATTTATTGATGTTGTTTTAAATGGAGTTGTTTTCTTAATTTCATTTTCAGATTGTTCATCATAAGTGTACAGAAATACAGTTGGTTTTGTATACTGATGTTGTACTCTGTAACCATGCTGAACTTATTTATTAATGCTGTTTTTTTAGTATTTTCTATAAGCCACATCATTTCCTCAGTAACTAGGTATAGGATTACTTCTTCCTTTCCAAAACAGATGACTTTTTCCTCATTTTGTTGCCTAACTGCCCCAGATAAAACTTCTACTACAGTGCTGGTTAGGAAGTGGTAAAGACAGGCATTTTTGTATTGTTTCTGATTTTGCAGGGAAACTATTCAATCTTTCACTAACAATATCATGTTAGCTTGTGGGTTTTTCATGTAGGTTTTTCATAGGATACTTCACTCAGGTTAAGAGATTCTTGTATTTCCAAAGGGTTTGTTGAATGGTTTTTATCAGAAAAGGGTATTAGATTTTATCAAATACTTCTGCATCTAGTGAGACGATTATGTGTTTTTTGTCCTTTATTTTGCTGATGTGGTGTATTAGATCAACTGATTTTTAGATGTTAAACTTATCTTGCATTTCTGGGATAAACCATCCTTAGTCATGGTGTATTCATTTTTATGTGACCTTGGATTCAGATTGCTACTGTTTTGTTGAGAATTTCATGTATCTATTTATCAGTTAATAATTTATGGTTCTCTTTTCTTGTGGCATCTTTGTCTGGCTTTAGCATCAGGGTTATATTGGCCATAGAATTGACTGGGAAGTGTTTTCCCCTCTTTTACTCTTTGGGAGAATATCTAAAATATTGGAGTTAATTCTTCTTTAACTATTTGGTAGAATTCACCAGTAAACACCCTTGCTCCCAAGTTTTTCTTTGTGGAAAGTTTTTTGATTGTTAACTCAATCTGTTTACTTGTTGTAGGTCTATTCGGATTTTCTATTTCTCCTTAAAATCAGTGTTAGTCATTTGTGTCTTTGTAGGAATTTGTCCAACCAACTTAGATTATCTAATTTGTTGGCATATAATTGTTTCTCATATCCATTTAAATTCTTTTTATTGCTGTAAGGTCTGTAGTGATGCCTTCCCCTTGTACTGTCGATTGTACTATTTTTGAGCCTTCCTGCTTTTGCTTGGTCCACCTACATAAAGGTTTGTGAATTTTGTTCATCACTTCAAATGACATACTTTTGGTTTTGCTACTTTTTATGTTGCTTTTCTATCATCTGTTTATTTTAGCTGCAATCTTTATAATTTTCTACTGCCTGCTTTCAATTTAGTTTGCTCTTTTCCTAGCTTAGAGTATATTCTTTTGACATTTTTATTAAACCACGTGCACATATTTACCTACTCAAGAACAGTAAATTAAAATGAATAAAGTATATTGTATTTACACTCTGAAGAAACTATGTACAACAATATTCATAGCAACTTTTAAAAATAATAGGCCTATACTGGAAGATATTTTTGTTTGTTTGTTTGTTTTCTGGTACCGGGAATCGAACTCACAACGTTGCGCTTGCCAGGCAGGTGCTGTGCCGCTGAGCTAAATCCCCAGCCCCTCATACTGGAAGATTTTAAATGTTTATTTATAGTAGACAAATGATAGTCATTTGTATCTTTTTAGAACTTTTCCCACTTAATCTAGATTTTCTAATTTATCAGCATAGTCACACAAAGGAATGCTACCTACAACCGAAAGAAAAAATGAAATAATAGTAATACATAACAACCAATATACAGGCACAACAGTCAGCAAAAGAACACTGCCTTCAAGAAGAGACGATACCTATCTCTGGTGATAAGGGTCAGAACAATGGCCACTATGGGGGCTGTGGTGCTTATCCAAGGGAGGCCAGAGGGAATATTCTGGGGAGCTAGAAATCTATATCTTTTTTGGGGTGGTACTGGGAATCAAACTCAGGACCTTGTGCTTGCCAGAGGCCCTGTGCCACTAAGCTATATCCCTGGCCCAATGGCTAGTGGCTACCCAAGAGTAAGCATAGGTAAAAATTAACTGCACTTTACAATTAAGATTGGGGCAAAGTGTGGTGGCTCAAGCCTGTAATCCCAGCACCAGGAGAATCACAAGTTTGAGCCCAGCCTGGGCAACTGAGTGAGACACTGTCTCCAAAATAAAAATAAATAAATAAAAATAAATAAAGCAAGTACTGGGGATGTAGTTCAGTACAAAGCCCCAATTCCCAGTGCCACAACTACAACCACAACAAAAAAGAAAGATACCAGCCCTTTATTGTCTATTTACTATACATCAATAACAAGTAAATAAAACAATGCATCTATTAGAGTACCTGGAACCTACTGTACCTGTAGATGCTTAATTTTTAAAATGTATTTATTTTTTATTTTTTTTTCCCCGTACCAGAAATCGAACTCATGACCTCGCGCTTGCCAGACAGGCGCTGTGCTGCTGAGGTAAATCCCCAGCCCCCTAAAATGTATTTTTTGACCTTTAAAAAAAACCTTACATCAGAATCCAGGTTAGGTAGAAAATATTAACCAATTTTTCAAATGACCCAGATTCTTACACTATGGCTAAAATTACATAACTGCAAACTGCATTTCAGAAGGTGTTCTTGTTCTGACTATCATCTGAGTCTGCAATCCTGCTGGTGCTGCGTTTCAAACCAGGCACTGCAATTTTCTAGCTTAACACAAAGATGCGAGACAATTTTTAAATGCTTGAAAAACACTGAATTTCACGGTGCATAGACATCTGTGGATATAAGGGTACCCAGGCACGAGGGTTCCAGGGACACCCCTGGGGGTGATCTTCAGCCCTTATAGGGATTTACAGGCTGAGATGGGCCAGTGCCTCTTGCTCCAGAAGTGGGCAGGTGTTGGTACGTATGTAAATTGTCTTGGCAACGAAAAGAATCACTAGGAAGTTTTGTTAAAGTGTGACATTTTCCTGAGGTTTTAGCCCACATGAAAAAGTCATGACACTATTCCTAGTGACTTTCCGGAGAGTAACTGACAACTCAGCAACTAGGGATGTAGTGCCAAAGGAGTGACATAATTAATGACTCTCTGGGGGTGGAAAAGGTAAGCGTGTTTGAAGAATGTGCCCTCCTGACTATAAACATAATTACATGATGATCTCTGCATATACTATGCCCCGTTGCTAGCAATATCAGAGCAACAGTTTTACAAGGAATTGAAAGAGGATGGCAGGGTTGTTACCAATCAGAAAGAAAATGGAAAATAAAACCTACAGCTAAGGTAAATACAAAAGACTACTTTTAGAAATCACTTAAAGTAGTGCTATTAAAGAATCATTAAGAAATGGGCACTTTGGCTAGGAAGCTGATTTCCTCCGTGTTCCTCTCAGCACCTTCTCAGGATATATATACGTCAGGGCACTTTTGTTGCTGTGAGAATACATGTTAAAGCAGAAAATTCTACTGAGAAAACTGGGAGGAATTTAGAGTCCTGAGAAGACGGAATTGAAGCCACGTACCAGTATCAGGGTTAGAAACTGCCACATGTACCTGGGCCTTCAGATGTCAAAGCGGGGAAAGATTCAAAGCCCTGAACCTACGGCATCCCCCTTGGCCTAATCTGGGGCAACAGTTGCCTCATCCGCAGTTACTTTCTTTGCCATCAATGAGCCAAGTGGCACTTTCTGCCACCTCTGTGTGCTCTCGCTTTTGTTAAAAATGCCTTCTTTGGGGCTGTAGATATAGCTCAGTAGCAGAGCGTGTGCTTAGCATATGCGAGGCCCTGGGTTCAACCCCCATCATCCCTTACCCCTCAAATGGCTATGTTCCTAGGGAGCTCACTGATCAAAGCATCCTCAGCCAATTCCATGCAATAAATAACTGACTAAAAAAAGTTATATTGTGGTTATACTCCTCTGCCAGGCCACTGTATATTCCTATGGTATCTCACTAAGCCCAAGAGGTTGAATTGCAAACTTTAGGGCTGGGGATTTAGCTCAGGGGTACAGCACCTGCTTGGCAAGCGCAAGGTCCTGAGTTCGATTCCTGGTACTGGAAGAAAAACAAAAACAAAACAAATTGCAAACTTTATTATGGAGCACCTTCTTAAAAACTGCTTTATGTTTCATTTTAAGTGTGACAAACATACCCGTCTCCTTCAGCATCCAGGGCAGCAGCCAGCTCTGTGAAGAGGAGCCCGGTGAGGAAGTGTTGCTGGCGATACTCCGGAGTCAGATCGAACATGCTGGCAATCTTCTGGTCCTGGAAGCTGGAGCAGGAGCTGGAGTTCTACAGAAATGCGAGTAGCGATTTCATAAGGACCAAACACTGGGATTGAAAGACCATGGCTAGTCTGTGAAGCACTGTGAAGCTAGTACCATGAAGCCTTTACTCTGACCAGGCATTGTGAACACTACCCAGCGGATAGGCCCTGCCAGTGTCCCAGCTCGCAGGCAAGGAAACCAAGACAGAGGGGTTACTTGCAGTTCCTGTTCCCACAGAAGGAGGACCGCCAATTAGGAGAAATGAAAATAAAGCACTCGCCTCCCCACCTGAAGTAAAAATTGAAGATTAAAATACTGCTAAAATGAGGACAGGGAAATGAGACGCGCATCGAAGCCTGTGGCTGGTGCTAGGTTACTCAGAAAGACTCTTCTTTTTTGGTACTGGGAACTGAACTCATGACCTTGTGCTTGCCAGGCAGGCCCTGTGCCACTGAGCTATATCCCCGGCCCCTACTCAGCAAGATTTCTGAAGATGGCTGGACACTTGGCCTGAATTTTAGGGGGCACAGAACCAGAAGTGGTGCCAGGCAGGAAAGTGTCAGATTGAGCAGAGCTTGTCCTCTGTTCTTATCCTGGGAGTACATGTCATACCTCACTAAGGACATCTAAAGTGTCTCGGTAAATCCTCCACACCCTGGTGAGCCCGGCCCTTGGGTTTGCCAACTCTCAGGAGCAGTCAGAGGAGGGGTGTGGGGAGAGGACAAGGGAGCCCGTTATCCCAGAGCAGTCTGAAGACAGCCTGCAGAGTAGGCCGCTGCAGAAAGCTTACACATTTGGAATTTCTGCTTATAAAATTATGTATCCCAGGGCACATTAAGATAGGCATGTAGCTAACATCTGGACCATGCCATCACACACATATATACACACACACACACACACACAATTTCTTAGGCTGGTCTTGAATTCCTGGACTCATGTGACCTTTTTGCCTTAGCCTTTTTTTTTTTTCCTTCTAGTGGTACTAGAGATTGAACCTTGGGCTGTCTCACTGATCACCAGCCCTTTCTTATGTTTATTTATTTATTTTTTTAAAATATTGAGACAGCATCTAGCTATGTTGCTAAATTGCCTGGGATAAGCTTAAACTTTCAGTCCTTCTGCCTGGAATTCCCAGAATGCTGGGATTATAGCTGTGTGCCACCACACCCAGCTTATTTTTTATAAGACAGGGTCTCTCTAGATGTCTAAGGGCAAGCTTGAACTTTCTTATTTCAGTCTCCTGAGCCACTGGGATGCACCACTGCTCCCAGCTTATTTTTTGTTAATTTGTTTAATTAATAAGATAAGCTTTCCACCTTGTGCTAGTATCAAGGAATATGCACAGAAATAGAGCTCAATACTGAGAAATCTTGCTTTCTGCTCTGAGCTCCTGATTCGATTGCTACCATGGAACACGATTATACAATAGCACTTCCTTACAGTTTTGCTAGAGGACACTAGTCCCTCGAGAAATTTAAGAGGAAAGGGGTTTCCATAGTCAGATCACTTTTGGAATAACTGCTGAGCTCATACACTTTCTCCCATCTTCTCTGCTATCCTGTGTATGTTAAAAGTTTGTGGATTGCTTACGGCAAAGAAACCTGGTTAAAGCAGGGGTTCCAAAACTTGCTTGACTCTGGAATTCTGTATTTGCATAATATAAAATTGGTTAATGTCAGACAAAGGAAGATTGGTATTTTCTGTGAGTTTCTTCATTTTCATAGTGATTATAGATACCTTGTCATACTTGGCTTCATCACGGACCGCCCCTCCAGACAGAAACCAAATGACTTAGCCTTTAATTATTAAGATAATAATTGGGGCTGGGGATTTAGCTCAGCAGCAAAAGCGCCTGCCTGGCAAGCGCAAGGTCGTGAGTTCGATTCCCGGTACCGGAGAAAAACCAAAAAAAAA